TAAAAGAATTCCCAACTTTAAAGTAAGCCTACTTAATCAAGTAGTGTTCACATAAGAAATTTCTGAGCCACGTCGACCTGCCACTCTGTCTGAGCAGGTGTATAAAGGACAACAAAAAAAATGGAGTCTGTGAGATTAACAAAAGAGTGGCATATTGGCTTATTATTAAGAATGTTGTTTTATGTCATTTGTTATTGGGTGCTACAAACAGAAATACAATTTCCTTACTATATAAAACAGAGATCTCCACTAAATAACTAGCTGCTCTGACAGAGTATGAAAGAAACATCTACCACATACTCACACTTTGACACCAAAGTTAGAGAATGTTTAAGAGATGCTAGGTTTGTTTTGGGAGGTAGAAGGGAAAGCTGTTTCAAAAATGTTGGAAAAGACGTACTTGGACTTTTAATGTGTTTGACACTCCCTTACATGCTATATTTGTTCATCAGCTAAAAAGACACATCAAAGAAGCATTTAATTTAATATGGTGTTGAAATATAGGACAAATATTCTTAAAAAAAAAAAAAAAAAGAGAGAGAAAATGTAGAACGATAAATCACAGTCACAAAGAATTCGAATAACTGGTTGGTCAGGGCCATAGAAGATCAGAAACAGTAAAGTAATGGTTGCAATAAAGGCAATCACATTTCTTTGAAGTTTTAGCATGAGCAATATATGCTAATCATGGAAAATAACAACTCCCTTGTCTCAACACTGATGAGGACACCAGGGAAGAAGCAAGCCAACTTAAGGAATCGGTTTTGTAAAGCTACAGAAAACCAGGTGTGAAAAGCTGTAGGATCTTCCATCAAGACAGAGCATAAGGGAGATGAAGGAACTGGATGACATGGAAATTCAGTAGGTTTACTTCTGTAAGTGAAGTTTAGAACTATTTGCCAGAACATTTCTTCAATTTTTTTCTTCCCTGTTACATACAAATATTTGTTTGACTTATGAAAAACTCCAGCCTGGGACAGACAACCCTGGATATGAATGTACAGACTAGGGGACAAGAGGTTGGAGAGCAGCCCCATAGAAAGGGATCAGGGAGTTCCAGTTGACAGTAAGTTGAATGTGAGTCAGTGGCGTGCCCTGGCAGCCCAAAGGGCCAACCATACCCCAGGGTGCACCAGGCCCAGCACTGCTGGGTGAGGGCAAGGATGGCCCCATTCTGCACTGTGCGGCCTCACCTAAAAAAAAATTGGTATCTCAGGTGAAAGAGATTTTGAAAGGCAGTTGTAGAGGTCATCACTGCATTTTCAAACTGATGATTTCTCAAGAATATAGTTATTTTTCAACTTATAAGCAAGAAGGGCAACACTCAGAATATGAATGCACCTACCTGAAGAAATCATGACACTGCTTCTCCCTTTTTGAGTTGTATTGTTAGCTTATCCTAAAATATGTTACCAGACAAAGATATTTCTGACAAAACTACACTGACACTATGAAAGAGAGAAAAAAGTCTTACCAGAATAATTTTTTGCTAGTTCAGTAACAGCAGTTAGAACGAAAGCATCCTAAATTTAGATACTTTTGTGTCAGTATAAAATTGCTTTACACTGAAATGGCTATTTAGCTTAGAGGAACACTATACAACAGTATAAAACGTTTACTATCAGTATATCTAGCCCATTCTTGACATGCTTTCTCTGTTTTTAGGTTGCAGTAGTAACAACAACAAAACATCCTGCTGTAGACAAGATCTTGGATCTGCTTCTGTCAACATTAAGACCAGTGTTAATCTAAGACTCCTCTAGGTCAAGCATGTCCAACACACAGCCTGTGGGCCGCATGCCCCCCAACTACAAATGGCAGTGGCTCTTCACCATGGAGTGGCCCTGGGCATGCACATATCGCTCAGCAGCAACCAAACCATCACTGCATTATTAACACTGTGTCAACTAAAACCAGGGCAATGGGAGGGCAGTGCTGACTCAAATGATGGCAAATAATTTTATGCATTTTGATACAGTGGCTAAAGACAGATGGTGGTGGTATGGCAGCAGAGGCTGAACTTCTCACCAGTATCCCACTACATGCTGTTGCCATGTGACAGATGGGAGCCGAGGGGCAGACTGACAAAATAGTATCTGATATGGAAGTGCAGATGAAGCAAAGGTGTGTCACTGAATTCCTCCATGAGGAAGAAATGGCACCTCCTGACATTTATCAATACTTGCTGAGGGATGGGTGGTGTGTTTCAGCAGCGGGTCACCTCTGCTGGTGCAGATCTTATGAGCACAGCATGGAAGCTCATATTCACTGCTGCTGAAAATGCATAGTTCATGATGATGATTGTGTTCAAAACAGTATTTTGTAGCTGAGAATTAGCTCTAGTGTGATTGTGCTCTTTGTATCTGTTGTAGTTTACATGAAAATAAGTAAGACACTACTTTTGAAGCAACTTATGTATATGTAGTCCAAGACATCACTCAGCTAGGCTCAGGCAACCAAGCTCTAGGTTTTTTAGGTAGACTAACAAACACACATTCTCGATCAGATGTGCTCAAATAATCATCTCTTATCCACTGTTTAACCAGACACCGTGCTACTTGTATCTCTCAACTATGTCTAGAGGCTTAAAATAAATTAACACATTCAAATCCCTCAGTGAAATTCCAGGCCACTGACTTCAAAACATTCAATGAAGATTCATTTGAGCGTATTTACATTTGAAAATAATTAAATTAAATTAACTTTTAACATATTGAATGTTAACACAGCTAACAGATGTAAGCTATTTAAACAATATTATACTTCTTTGAATTCACCTACATTAGATGGCTCCATCAGTTTAATGTTAAGTAAAACAACCAGTTTGCCTGGATCACTGTTACCCTGCAGCAAAGACTGATGTAATGCCTATTACACAGTGACAATTGCTTTGTATTTGTTATATTTTTATTAGGAAGCTGTTTTGCAGATACTGATTAATTGTGCATGCCTTACAGTGCCATGCAGAAGGGTAAGTCTTGAGCACAGTGTAGTTTGAAAGCATTCAGGTAAGGTCTCTGGGAAAAAGTTTACAGCATGTTCTTCTCACACCAATATTTAGCCACTGCAGATTTTTCAGCTTTCCCCAAAGCACACATTTGTAGGAAAAGTATTAAATTAAAAAATAAAATAAGACCAACACCTCCTAATCTACTAAATCCCATAGCAATGAATGTAGGTAATATATCAATTTTAAATATGATTCTGCAATGTAACAGACATATTAATTGTTTTACTATTAGTTTATATTAATTATCGTTTTATTAAAACTATATTAATTATAGTTTTATTTATTATTTTTTATTATTTCAACACTGCTTAAAATACTCCAATTCTAAGCCACTAGTACTTCTAGTGCTAATTACTAAGTACTGCTAATTACTTCCAACTCTTTATGTAGTATAGAAGGTACATTCTTTGAGAGGTTGTCTTGTATTTTTTTTTATAACACTACCATAACTATGCATGTGAACAAAGAGCCACAATTACTCCCAACCTAAAACTTCACACATTACTACAAAATATAAAGTCTTCACACTTTGATCGTAATTTCAGTTTCCCCAATCACAAGACTTTTAAGAAAATAGACCACTTACCAATAATTCTTCTTGTTGCTGATGGTCAACTGAGCAGATGTACAGCTGAAGCGATTTCAGTTTCAAAACACTTGAATGCACAGGGATGCGGAAAACTTCATTAAATATTAGTGGAGTTTGGAATTCCAAGGCTCTGGAGCAGTAAGTGGTTGGTGTGCCTGACTCAAGTGGTGGCAAATAAACTCTCACATGACTAAGAAGAGCAACATAGACAAATAGCACAGTTCAGATAAAGAAAGCTCTTTTCAGGTATTTTGCATTTCTGAAAATCAAGCTACACCTGTGTAACTTCTATATTAAGAACCTGCTTTGGGATCTCTGTTACAGGGATTTACTTTGCATTCTTAACACAGAAAAAGAGCAAAGCTCATTTGGAAAATGTATCTTTCTCTAAAACCAACTTTATTCTAACTTGGTGATTAAGCAGAGTCACCAAGTGCCACTTGAGATGCCCTGAGGTATCTAAGGCATCTACATGGGGCTAGCAAATATGACATAGGATCTATGGGAGAGCTACAGCTTTCCTGACAAGCAGCAGCTGGAGGCCAGGTGCTATGCCATGACGTTTCAAGTGGAAACGTATATCCATGTTTAAGCAACTGAACTGCTCCTCTATTTCTTGTCTCCATCCACTATGCATACCGTGGCAGCACAGAAAACCTACGTTACAACCATCTGCAATCTTAAAAAAAGGAAGTTTACATATCTGATATCATCTCATTTTAGGCTCCATAACAAAATCAAAGTCTGCAACCATTTCAATCTGACAGAAGGCAATACACCTACTTGAAAATTGTTTGTGCTCTCCTCATTCTGACCGCCTGTCAAGCCCTTGAATACCACATTTCATGCCATACCTTCTCTTGTGCTATTAAAAAGATTCATGTGACTACATTGTGAACAAGATTAGAAACCTCACCTAGGTTTACAAGCTAACCCAGAGGGAAAAAAACACTTGCAGATTAAAAAAAAATCCAGCTCAGAGGTTCACTCCAATTGACTACATCACTGCATGAACTCTTATGTCAAAAGCAGAGGGGGTGACACTGGAAGACACGTAAATGTTAGAGGACAATTAATAGAATTCCCTGTGGTGGAACCATACAGCTGGAGAATATGGCACCAGTTAAACTGGCTCATGTCATAAAAAGGAAGTGATCCAATTCCTCTGCTCATCACTTGCAGCAAGTAACCTCCCACGTCTGCCCTCAAGCAATCCAGTTTCAATTAATATACAGATGCATGGAGGAACTCATTAAAGTGACTAAGAAGTTTCTGGTCTTGCCAAGATCAACTGTTCTTTTTTCTTTTTCACTAGTCAAATCAATAGATTTATCCTGCAGACACTGCAGACACACAGTTTCTCAATTCTAGCCCACATGGATAACTGAGAAGGCTGGGCTCTATTATTAGTGCCACTTAAATGCCTGACTGCCTTGATGACAATGTCCAACAAACCCCCTGGAATCATTCATTTCCTTGGTGACTATATTTGATTTTCTTCAGGTGACGTTCATTTCTTCTTCTAATCAAGAGGCAACATGGTTGAGCACTACTCAATATTCACACTTCTCCCCTTCAGCATGCCCTAGCGTTCATTCTGAAAACAAAGAACTGCCACTAATGCACTGGCCTACATGAAAAATTTCCACTAGAAGTCTGCAGCATTTGCAAGGTCAAGCTTTCTGCAGAAAGATCAACTCACTCAGTGAGACAGATGTCCATTTAACAACTCCCTCTTAATGACCTATTTTATAATAGAACAATATCATCACAATTCCATTTTCCACAGTTTTAAAGCAACTTCACCCAGAAATAAAGACCAACAATTTTCATTATTTCCTTAAAATGTATTAAGACACATCACTAGATAGGTCTGTGTTTTATGGCAACATTCCTGCTATTTAAAAAATGCTTATTAAAATAAACTAACTAATGCTCTTTGTGGTATGGAATTTGAAGCAGTAGTACATGCAGCCAGAAGTTAAAAAAAAAGAATTAAATTGTTTGTACTGATTCTCAGCTAACATTTGTGTTAAAATTATTTTCAGAAGTGTTTCATAGATATTCCAGGAATACTGTCATGGCTATAAAAACCTGTACAAGTCTTATATTTTATATTTATTTAATTATTTATCTACTATTTTTTTTCCAGATAAAAATCAAGATCTCTCTATTACTATTATTTATTATAGCTGTTACCTTAGGAATTTAAGAAAATTACATTAAGCTTATCCTGAGATATATCACAAATAGACTGTAGATAAGTTCCACAGGTAATAATATTTCTAGAATACTACAAATATTGTAGATTTTTTCTTGTACAGAAGTCATGAGGCAGGAGAATGACTTGTGTTCTGAACTATCTTTTCTGTACATAATAAATACATTAAAGCATACGTCATTGGAAACTATATTTGCTACCTCACCATTAGGGCAGAGGTTCCATAAAAAGGATGCTTTGTGACCATTAAATTATCCCTTTCCCCATGGAAACTAAGATAAGCCATAATGGCTTAATTTTGCATGAAAGCAAACAAACTGTAGCACTCAAGATTATAGCATAAAAGAAGCAACTGTCTTTTGGTAAAATGTAAGCTTACATTTTGCAGTTTTCCTTAACAACTAGACTAGTAAAATTCTTCAGCTGTAGTACATGGACTAAGAGACATTCACTTCCACTGTCATGCCTGAAAAATAAATTTCTTATGTTAGTCACCATCAATATGTTCCTTAAGAAATACAGATGAAAAAGACTAAGAGGACTTTAAGAACATAAAAATACCTTTTGCAGTTAAATGAATCATTTACACAAATCAGCATGAATCAAAAGCACTTAAGGATATCACATTCAGAACCATAAAAGCACTAACTACATTAACAAACTTATCAGAACAAAGAGAATTTAACATTATTCAGGTGAAGAAGAACACTACCTAGAGTGACTCTTGACAGTGAAAAAATTTTATAAAACGTTCTTTGTATTAAATGTTTCCACCATAATCACACGTGTGAGTGATGTAACGTTAGACAACTCAGTCTGCATTATTTTCATGGATTAATGAAAATGCAAAAAAAAAATTCTTATCTTCTGCAACAGCATGAGTTTTGAGACAGAACTATCACACCTGCTTGAAATCTGAAAATTCCAGGCCCTGGGAACTGAAGGGTAGAGAGAATTCTGGAAGGCATCCCATCTTACACTGCTATAATCTGCCCTTCCCCACACTACTTGCACAATTAACAATAGCTTGACCTATGTACAGCACTTCAGAGGTGCATTTAGGAGCCTTATTTATATTTGTCTCCTCAGATGTGATTTTCCTAAGGTAATCATCTTTTATCTCGCATAAAAAACTCAGATCTTATACACTGAGACATATCCCTATATCAGTGCTCACATTAATAGCCCAGACAATGAAAATATTACTGAAAGAAGTAACTAAAGCCCCTTCATTAGCCAGCATTGAAAGGACAGCAAATGAACAGTGGCTGCTCCAGCAGAAAGTGGCATGCTGACTATTGCATCCAACCACTTTGGCTTTCAGTGCAAAAACAGTATTAACACTACTTACAGAAATCCAACGTGTATTTGTGGTTCTTCATTACTGGCAATATCACCATAAACAGGCTCTTCCATATCTTCATTCCTGCACAAGCAGAAAGTACTGTAAACTACATACTGATCAACAATGTTAAAGCACAATGAAATGAACATTTATTTCACTATTTAAGGATAAATGCAACTGTTCAGTAATACAGGGAGAAATTGAGATCTATTTAAGAGAAACAAAAGCAGTAATTCATATTTTTAAAAGTTTTTAGAATAAGTCTTAAGGCTAGTTTTTTATTTGTTCCGTTTTCCATTACTCTTCAGAATCATGAAAACCTTATCTTCTTCCCAGTAACTGCTTACTGTGTTACAACAATTGTATAAAATGTGTTTACCCTCCTTCAGTCACTTAATCAATCTGCACATTAAGCCTTGCAGCAATTCCTATACTTTTCTTCCCTTCATCACAGGAAGATGTACACTTTTAATTATGTCTCAGAACTTGAAGTACTAAACCATATCATTTTATTTTGTTATAGGTGGTTGAAATAAAATCACAACTTTAGAACTAACATCTTTTAGGTAAGAAGTATTGGATGTTAAAATGTTAGAGATAATCAAGTGAAAAAGACTTAGCAACTATGAAGATGACAGTAGAACTGTATGTAAAAACCTTCATCCACCTAACTTGATGATGCAACTTAACCAGCAATTTTGAAAGCATGTTTACTATATTTACTATAAATTCTTTCAGACCGTGTGGCAGAACAGGAATATTTCCAGCTTACTACACATTTTTACACCTGACCTTTTGCTTAAAGCTTCAAACACGCCACTGTCACTAGCCAGTGAATGATCTGAGAGACATGCTGAAACTCGCCTGGCTCTCCTCTCCGATCTTCGACCGCTGTCTCCTCGCAGAGTTACAGCTATCATGGAGAAAAAGCGAAGACAACATCAGCTCAAGGCAACCTCTTTAAGGATTAAGCAAGAAGCAGTATATGAGTGGCAAACAGTACAACTAGCAGCAAAACACTTGGTACAAATGCAGCTCATTGTTTTGTCATCTATCTTTAAAGACTACAGTACAATGGACCAGAGATTTTTTGTGAAAGAATTAAGGCTGATTTCTCTATGACATGACTAAACATAAGCCAATCTCATTGTTATTACAGTGTTTTTCTAGAGGAAAAATCACTCCTAAAAGCTTACATTAATTCAGTACACGCACATGATATCCTAAACTTCTAAGATTTACCTACTGATTATTCAATAGTTTGAAAATAAACAGAGACTAATTCTTTTAAGAAGTTATCAGGCAACACACAGTGAGGTTTTGTTCTCATGTGTTTCCGTGTATGAATTTTCAAAGCATGTTGCTTATATCATCTCATTACAGCAACTTTTATTTACAGTCTGAGAGGTGTTATCCAAAAGAAACAGTGCTTTCCATCTCACTGACAGCAGTTCTTTTTCAAATTCTTGGTGAATAAACTTGAAAACTGACAGAGGGAAGAAAAAGTCAACCCTCCCTTCTACTCTAAATCACCAGCACCACCACAAATAGCAATTCAGTCACTTTCATGAGCTAAGCTTATCAACAAAAATGGCATTACACATCACATTTTGCAAATACAAGTAGAAATAGAATGTAAAAATCCTTCAAGATATGTGCACAAGTGATAATGCTCAAGAATTGCATAGGTAAGGTTTCAAGACTTCAGTGAAAGGCTGCAACTTGAGCTTTTCTTCTTTCACATCCTAGAGAGAATCATTACGTGGACTTATGGAACTGCAGTACCTTTCACCAACTTCTTCCCCCTTTTGCTTAGGATCAATGCTTGTCCTCAAAGCAGAAAAGCAATGGCAAAGAGATGCCACTTTTGAAGAAGGAGAAGTATCATACTTCTACCTGGGCTCATGAAGCAGGTGTCTTGGAAGTACTTTAGGTTTCAGCAGACATTATTGGAGTGATAGTAGCACAGCACACATCACAGGGAGGCAAGCAGCAGCTGCTTGTTTTCAGCTTACTACCACTAAGGCTGAAACATGTCTTACCTTTGTTAAGATATTATCTTTAGACATCACCAATAAAACACAGCCTCCTGAACAGCAAGTTCCCTTCAGCACAGTGTCAGCAAGTAACTGACACTTGCAAAGAGCTTCACTTGCAAAGGCCCACTGAAGGATGGAAAGGACATCAAGTCCCCGCTCAGTGTGAGCAAGGTCTTGCATCCTGTGCCAGCCCCATGCAGAAGACAGCAGTCAGGCCTTGAAGCTTGACAAAAATCCCCTCAAATCAACACATCTGTGCTGCTGCTGTCAACAGAAATGTCTGGCTTTGTCCCAGTGCAGGACTGGCAGACAGGATGCATTGAGTACTGCCATCCTGCACAACTTGAGATGCGATCTTTGTCAGATAATCAACAGCACGAAACTAGAAGAGATGTTCATAAATATCACAGGCTTCCGTTTGAAGCTAAGATTCCTATATGTCTGCAGAACCAGTTATCTGTGCTTTTGGATCAGGGGCTCTATGGACCTCCTCTCCAAATTCAGTGAACAACTTAGCCATCTTCAGTTATGCAGGACATCTATTTGCTGGCAAGAGCATTCCATTCTGCATTTGTTTCTGTACCTGGAGAAAGAACTACCCTTTTTCTTCCTAATTACAGCATCCCATCTTATTGTCCAGTACATGTTATTTTGCCATACAGCTCATTTCATCCTCATTGCAAATGAGAGCCAACCTCTACCTGACTAAAAAAAAAAAAAAAAAAAAAGCCAGAAAACTGTGTTTGAACTTTACTCTCCTCCTACCAGTTGTACAAAGTGGAGGATTTCATTTCAATTTGTTTTTTATTTTACTTTTTTCAGTCTCTTCATTTGGTGAGACAACTTCTGTAACTGTTGTCACTGATAAGCAAAAGAAAAACTAGCACTTTCTACGTAAGGGCATTTATGAATATAGAAGAGTTTCCCAGTACTTTCAGATCACTGGAAAATGGCTGACCTTCAGAAAAAAAAAGTGCAATTTTATGCCAGTGCTCATCTACACATTGTGTATTAATTTCAAAAAATTATACACTGATTGCTACATTTTCATAAGAAGTATCTGGCTCACCCTGCTATGTGAACACTGCATAGATCCAGGAGATGAAAGAGGAGGTTGGACCTCATGGACTCTCTACCTTGGAGGTTTCATGTTCCTAATTTGTCTGAAGGAAGAACTGTTGTCAAGCACCGACACACCATCATGAAAAACTGATGTGTTACAACACTTGTAACTTAACAGTGATTCCCTGCAGGCCATGGAAGCATTTGATTATATCTGGACAATCCCACAAATTTGGTTGAGATGCAAATGTCAGAACACACACTTAACTAGAAAAATGAATCAGTAAGAAAAATTCATCAAGAAAGAAACATCAGATTTTGACTTAAACAGAACAAGGTGTACCACAGCTATAGACCTTTCAATCCAGGAAGCTAAAGAACTGTTTCTAAAATACATACTTACCTTTTACTGTCCTATGTCAACAAAATGAGTGAGCAAAATACATGAATTGGAATTTCCTAATAGGCGCCAAAGCTTGACAAAGACTGGCTTGATTAAAAGAATATTCTCAGCTGCCACAAGCCCAAAACATGAACTTGAAAGAAAATTTTGGTGTCTAATATGCATTGGTGTCTAGTAGTTCATTAGCAAAAACTATACATTTAAAGCATATGTCACAGGCACACAAAACTACAAGTACTGCATGTCAGCTCAAAATACTCTAATAAAAGAGTCAAACACTGTCATAAAACCTAAAACAGACACAAACAGACTTTACCTACCATGATGCTGTCAGGCATTACAATGATGTAATAAAGCTGAAGCTTGCAGAAAACACTGTTCAGGTATTTAACCACAAACATGAATATATTGCTAAGTTGACATAGCCAACATTTAAGTATGCCATAATATGCCATGATTAAACAGATACAAGATTATATCAAACAGCATTATGTCAAAACCAAATGTAGCAAAATGTCCTTCTTCTTTCACATGCAACTCATACAAAAACACTTCACACACAAAATCACACTGGGAATTACAAGCAAAAACAGCACGATTAGTAATTTTATGTTCACTTACAGTGCATTTTTCTGTTGTGCCGCATGAGAAATGAGACAAAATGAAAAGCACACAGTGATCAATCATCTTTTAGGTCTATGATTAGGTCAGTATTTTGCAAACTAGATTACTTAGGCATTGAAGGAACTTTAACACTCAAAAAATTATTTTAGGACAGAGAAGAAGATACAGAAGATCTTTGAAGACTGGTGTTAGCACTTTTCCTCCCACTCCAGCTTTACAAATACAATGTATATGCCCCCAGAAGAGATACAGAAAAAGAAAACAGCAAATAAGCAAACAAGCATCAAAAATTCAGTTCCTAGAGAACTCCCGAGTATGTTTGAGTACTGCTTCAAAGCAGAGTATACACAATGTACTGAGTGTTATCCCTCTGGACTCCTGTAATTTGGGAAATCACCCCATATTTTGTTTGATGGAAGAACTGGTGAAAAATTTGTCTGACTTAATACTTGCTGGTTTTCCAGAGTAGCATTACATTGCTAGACCATCAGGTGGCAGCAGCAAAGCATACAGCATGGTAATAAATTAGTAAAAACAAACACCCCTCAACATCTGGGGGATCCCAAACTGTCCTATATGAGGTTGATACTCCATCAAATTCTTCAAGAACAGTACTGAACTTAATCGATTTAAAAATTTTCAACTGATAGATGGAGACAACTGCATTACAACAGCAAACCCACCAACTAGGGAATGCCAAGCTCGAAGCAGTCGTGACTCCAGCCAAATACCAGAAAGGTTAGACTTGTTTTTCTTTCCCAGGCAATTGTTTCAAAAATCAAATACTTAAAAAAATGAAAATATCCATCAAGACAAACTGGTTACCTTTTAATCATACATTCAAAAAGGAATAGAAAGCACTAGGTTAAACACAGAGAAGAGTCATAAACCCTGGACTAGGAGCTGGACCCAGACACCACAGTAGTGACAGAGGCATCACAGACATGTTCTGCCAGAGGCCTTCAGAAGGAAAAAAAGGAAAATGTGAAAAAACATTACAGAGAAGGGAGAAAAAGAAAACCAAAGCAGGACGTGACCCTCATCCTATTGCTCTCTAAGCCCTCAGACCAGGCCTTCATTTCTAGGAAACACATATGAGCTATAAATGAACTACTAACATAGCTTTACTTACCACAGTGGGTGAAGACATGCTGTGGTCTGATCTGAGGTTTAAAGAAAGCCTCAGGAAACTTCTCCATGACACTAATTTAAGCACAGACTTACATGTTGGTCTCTAGAATTCTGTTTATTTTGGTCAGAATACTGCAATATGGGCATGAGAAATGTTTATGTCTAGTAAACAAATTCTGCAGCAGTATCTTCTGGCAGCATGAGCTGCGTTATGGAAAGTAAGTCTACATTCAATTCCATTTGAACAATGCAGGCTTGTTAGCATAGTAATGGCCTTTTTCTTCATAAAAATAGAAAGCTGAAATCTTTTCCATAGATACTGTTGGTGCTCCTTTTCATTATCTCCTGACAAACAACATCAAATGGGATAATAGATTCTCTGCTTACATTTCCTAGTAGCCCTGATGTTCTAAGTCCAGAATGTAGTATTCAATACATATATTAGAAATGAGACATGAATTATAATCTTTAAAATATTCTCTAAAAGCCCTCCTCTACTGTAATGGCTTTATTAGAAATATAGCATGTTAACACACAAAAATATCGTAAGGAAAAAAATTTTAACAGCAGTTCTTCAGTTGATTAAAACAGGAAAATAAATTAACTGTTTCTTTATTTTTTAAGGTTTCTGTTTCATCTTTTGATCTCTTCAACTCAACTTTCTATTGCACTCTCATCTACAGCACCTCAGAAGCTTCCAACAACACAAGCTGAAGAAAGTCCATCGACTTCACATTCAAGCAGGAAAAGAAAACCCTAACAGTATGTGCCATGGTAACTGAGACTGTTCTGTGATTGCAGAGCTCATGCTCTGAGACAACAACAAAAAATCACTCAAGTGGATGCTCAGCTCCTCACACATCCCCAGCAAAAAATGCTTCTCAGCTGCTGAAGTAGTGAACTCAACTCATGAGCACAGCGTATCGTGCATTCAGCACCACTCTGCTGCTGTGGTTCCCATCCCATTGCACTGCACACAGACATAGGAACCTGATACTGGAGTGGGCATGAATTCAGCATGGAGCCAGCCAACCTTCAAGCACTACCACAGCAGCAATCACCTCATGCACCCCTTCCTTTTTTTTTTTTTTTTTTGTTTAAAAATATGAAACAAAGCAACCAACAATTTCCTCTGGGTTTGTGCTGCTGGAAATTATCAGACTAATGGCAACATTGGCAGAAATTGGGATGTAATTAAATCATGTGTATTTTTACTAATTGGTCATGCAAGACCAAAATACATACACCATCGCATGTTCCACTCCAACAAAAGTCTGTATTCCTGTATTCCTTTCCCTTCCCTCCACCCAAACTATCACAAAAATTCCTCATTCTTTCATCTCTGCCCTAATCAAATCCTAAATCAAAAGGTTTTTGTTTTTTTATTTTATTTTATTTTATTTTAGGGGAAGAACAGGGAGGGAAGTCCTCTCATTTTCTTTTTAAACACCTAACATCCACCATGCAATTTTTAACGTTAAAAAATTAAAATCAAACAGAGTAACAATCTCCGCTGTATCAGTATGATGAGGGTTGTGTGCCTCATGTGACAAAACAATTAAGTACAGAAACTCACCTCCACTAGGTTGGACAGCAGTCAGCTGTGGGCCCATTTCTCGCACCCCTTCACTGTCGACAGGGTAAGAGGGCATCTGAGATGAACTTGTTCCTTGTGCATCATCGTCACCCAATGCTGTGGTCTGAGCTCTGAGCATTTCCAGAGCTCCCATGCCTGCAATCTCCTCAAAGCCTTCAGACATCTGAGCCAAGGGAGAATCTCGAGATGCAGAGAGAAATGGGGTGTCCAGAGGTGAGCTTGGAGGGGACAGTGATGACAAGGAGGACCGTGATGACAGGGATGCCAGGGACTGAGGGGTGTCCAGAGACCTCCGTTGCTTATTGAAATTTGAATGTCCAATGGGATCGGTGTACGGCACGTCCTTTGTCAGAGACTCAAAGGGAATGATGTCAAAGCGCAAATGCTGCCCGTAGTCTGTAACGCTGTCTGACTTGTCATACTGAGGAAGGCCGTAGATGTCCGTAAAGCTGACTGAGCTGAGGGAGCCTCTGCTGGAGGCCAGGGAACCTCGGCTGGAGGCCAGGGAACCCCTGCTGCTGCCAGATGACATTGTGAGGGTGCTAGCCGACAGACTACGTCAGGCAAAGGAAAAGGAAACAAAAAAAATGCCTTTAAAATATAATCAGAAGCACTGGCACAGACATAAAAACATCAGCCCATCTGGTATAAGCAATTTTATATGCATTCAGCACGTGACACAGGGAGATGATCTGGCTGTTTAGGGTCTAGCTTGTGTTTCTTGTCCTGGTCTCAAGCACAGACATGACTGGAAAAGCACGAGTGAAAGTCAAACCAGAATCACATGCAAACCAGGCCAGAGTACAACAGGACAGGTCTACTCCTTCCTCTGAATTGTAAGCAGCCCTAATTTGGCAAAGAAGAGGAAATAGGAAGGCTTGGATAAGTGGACTCAGCATAAAGCCAGGAATGGTAGATTACTTTGATCCAGCCTGAATTGGTGTTAATGATGAATCATAAACGTATCAGGGAGAAGAAGCGAGAATGGATTTGGAAAGGCCTAACAAAATGCTGCATAAGCCTCACCCTCACAGGTTTTTCCAGTGCAAAATGAAAACAACTTTAGTATGAATCCTATTTCAGCTCCTTCTATCATTCCCAGATGGCTACAGAGAGAATAGCGTACGTGACGGACAGAGACGAAGTAAGACACAGCAGGAACTGAGCTTTTGATGTTGGCATGGTGTTGAGCTGAGGAATCCCTGAGAGCTGCACCGAAGAAGGCAGCTGTGAGCGTGAATATGCAAAACATTCTGGGCTTCTGTGTGGGTCTTAGCACATTCTCATATTTAAATGGCAAAATTTTGTCATCTCACCAGGGATGAAAATCACCTCTTTTAGAGAAGGTATCAGGATATTAAACTTCACAGAATTTAGAAGAATGTTATTTTCACATAAAGTAAATCTGACAATTTTACTATGGGCTCCTTTTTGTAAAAGAACAAAAGCGAGCATACAGAATTCCCAGATATACATAATAATCTACCCCAAACAACCATTACTAATGCTATTTACAAAACTCCATCAAAATCACCACATTCCACAGATCAATCTGAATAAATTCAGTAAAAATTTAATTTACCCAACACATACACACAGGAAGTTTTAGAAGATAAACTTCCATTACCAATATTATTCTCTGCTGCAGTTAAACTTCAAAACCTACTCTTTCTGCACAACTCACCTTTTCAATTGGGAGTGTAAATACGAGGTTAAACGTGTAGCTTCCTCCAGTTGCATAAGCAAACAATTTCTCTTTTCCTGTAACAGTATCCTGTAATTAAACAGATGCATATTATTATTTTTCTTCATTACAGTAGTACTCAAGAAGTGTCAGGAGCTTTCCAAGTACAGAAAAATCCCATTGCATTGCAGTTTAAAAAATAAAAATAAAAATTTCTTGTTTAATGAAAAGATTAAATATATGCTGTGCATATGCAGCAAAGGAAATTCCACCCTGAACATGGGAACCAAGACCAGCAAGACAAGAAAAGTTAGCTGAGGCACAGTGTAAGCATTGTGACGTCAAAAACACACTACAGAAATTGTCGAAGTCATCAAAAGTTCTAGGTAAAAGCATCAGACTCTACAATATTTTTTTCCCCTTGCATCAACATAATTGTGCCAGTAGAATACAGAAAACTAATACGACTAGTCCTGCCCTGGCAGGAAAAAAATATTCCAAATAGTTCTGTTATCCAAGCAAATTAATGTTACATTTCAAAGGTGGATGTGGCTCTGGGCAGCCTGGTCTAGTGGCAGGTGACCCTGCACATAGCAGGGGGTTGAAACCTTCATCATTATGGTACTTTTCAACCCAGACCATTCCATGATTCTATGAAAGTACATTTATTGTTTTCCTGAATGGACAATTACAAGTATTCCTGGTGCTTTAATCTTCCAAACCCAATCACTAAATTTCAAAATAGAATCAGTGCAATAACCCATTTCATGTTATACATTTGTACACTTGGAGCAGGAAAGATATTGCTCCAGACCTGTGTTCATAAGTTGACTAGAAACTGGGATTCTGATGGACAGTCTAGAGGCAGCACATCAAATGTATTTAAGATTCATGTGTCAGACCTTACCAACTGCAGACAGCTGCTAGAACTCAAAATGCTAAGGGGCAGGATAGAAAAATATCATTAACAAGGAAAGCCTTTTGGATGAAACAGCAACATTTATTTCAGTGAAATGTGAATGGTAAAGGTACGAAAAAATATCTTTGCGATATTTTGTCAAGAGTAAAAACAGAAATCTCTCAATTTTGTTGGCCTCCAACTGCATTAATTCAGTATGTTGGCATGGAGTCTGCAGCACCACGCTCCAGCAAACCTTTCCCACCCTCCAAAGAGGTTCCCTTTATTGCAACCACACAGCAGAAGCTCCACACCAAAGCGTGTGCAAGATCAAAGCTTTTCTCCTGTTTCTGTGCATCACAGATCGGGTTAACCAAGTGGTGCAAGGAAGGCTGGAGCTCTGCTATATCACTCAGGTGATCATTGCCTGCAGGGACCTCTTTGTCATACAGACTGAGTTAGTTCTGATCCATAACACAGTACATTTAAAACTCCACAACAGCACAAAACTGGTAATTATTTAAACAGGAAATTTCTTTCTATTTCGTGACTAAGAAGAAATAGAAAAGTAGTACTGGGAATAGTTTGGGTTATTCTGGAGCCTAAACTAAACAAATAAATAAATAAAGGTTACTAATTTTCTCCAATTTGTTATACAAAAAAAGAGTGGCCTTAAATATTATTCTAACTTCTACTTTTTGCTAGCATTTGAAATATCAAATATCATACTGGAATGCTGGTTTCCACTGCATGAACTACATGGAAAAATAGCATGGCTTTCTTGCCAACAAAATGTGCAGTACCTAACGTGAGAGCCCAAAAACAACAAATAAAACTTACTACACTGCAGTGTAAAGTGAACTCCCTTCTCTGTCAGTTCACGCTGGAAAGCTTGTTTGACAATACTGCGAAAATTGCAAAATACACAACACCGAACTGCAGGGTGGCTGTTAATTTTCTGTTTTTATTGCCTGAATTTACCATCTAATGTAAGTCTGTCCAAAGGAACCGAAGCTCCGAGAGTCTGTAAGTGGAAGGTACTTCCAAATCTATTTAATATGCATAAATATTAGCCTTAAAATGGATCACATTAAATCTGTTTCATGTAATTTTCCCTCATATTAAACCTGGCTTTTTACCATTTATTCATGCCTGAGTTTGTTTCAGAAAGAAAAAAAATAGCAAGAGAAATGAAAAATCTTTCATGCCTCAAATAGAAGTATTGATCTGTTGTAAATAAATTAATTAATTTTAAAAGGCCACAAACACCTTCTCTGTATGGTTTTAAGTTAGCATTTCTGGCATTTACAAAGCATGTATGCATCAATTATTTAAGAGAAAGCAAGTCTGGAAAATAAGAACAAGTACTTTCATGCTTTTCACTAAAAGCAGTCTATGGAAACAAGAACACATGAAGAATTTTGATCCATTTCTTTGGCTAGAGGAAAAAATGTCTAATTTGGAAATAAACAGTGCTTCTGCTGCAATGTTTTTCTTTCTTTGTTTGTTCTCACACAAAACTTTACATTTAATTATATTTTCAGTTTACTATACTGTCAGAGTTCACATGTGCTCATGCTACAAAAACTGCAAATTAAAAGAAAAAAATTGATGAAACGGGTGAAAAAAAATCCTTTAACTTTCCCATTCTGAAACAGAAAGCAAACATAGGGAAAGATCTTTGTTCTGATGAATCTGAAGATGATCATTACTCCACTTTAAAATACTAGAAAAATCTTTCACAGGTGCTATCATTTGTCTTTCTTATCTGGCAACATCACTCAGACGACTTCTAAGTATCTGATGCAACCAACCTGATCTATTCTCACAGTTTAGATGAATGAACGAAAAGCTAGCCAGTCAACATCACTAACAGTCCTCTACAGAATTTCAAGACAGGCAGAATTAAATAATGGCAGAGTCAGGAGCAAAATGTCTCACTGAAACAAATTACTAAATTTTTTTGTTTGTTTCTGAAACACATGGAATTCTCTACTCTTCATTTTGAAACTACCCAGCAGTTCAGAAAATGATTTAAGTTCACAAACCTTTCAGTGGCCCCATGAGCAGAGGTTGCTCGAGCCCGCTGAATTTCATCCTCCAAACGTCTTTTTTCTTCCTCCAAACGTGCAATGTCTTCTGGGGATCGCCTCTGCTGACTGATGAGCTGCAGCTCCTGAAGAAGAGCCTCCTTCTCCTTGATGAGCTGAAGACGGTCCCTGTCCGCTTCAGCCATTCCTGGCCAAGATTCATTGTCTAGCAAGGCCAGCTGCTGTTGTATATTTGAAACTCTTTAAAAGAGAATAAATATATTTCAAAACACGGAAGAGACAAAGATGAAGACAAGTAAAAGGAAAAACATCGGAAGGTGAAGCCTGTCAGCTTCAGTGACTTTCATCTAAACTCTGAAACAAAAAAACTTAGCGGTCTTCATGAGGCTTATTTGTTTCTAGGCTCAAGGTATTTCTTGGTTTGTTTGTTTTAAATGTAAAGAATGTCAAGTATTCATGAATGTGTAACTGTATGAGAACTACAACACATTTATCACACGGTCAGTATCTGTCTTCTCAGATTGCTCATTTTATAGAAAAATCAACTGATACTTTAGAGCTCTTGAGTATGATGTTTGTACAAGCTGATGAATCTGAATAACTTTTTGTTACTCATTTGTCCATTATCATACCTTAACATGGGACTTGAGAAATGCAGCAAAGAAAGTGTTTGTCTTTGAGAAGTTTTGTACTGTCTTGCGCCACCTCAACAGAGGAACATGTCCTGACTGACAACAAAGTTTTAAGAGCATATTAATTATCAGTAAAACAAAAATGTTGGTCCAGAAAAAAAGATTTACTGGTTGCAAAATCCAGATGGCTTCAGATAGATCAATCATCAAATCAAACAGTTAGATATGCTAACTTCAATGTTATTTTTAGTAGTAGACTTCATTGCCAAAAGGAGTTTTTTATTTTGTTGTTGTTGTTGTTTTTTATCTCCATAAACTGAACCATTACATTCTCGCAAGTATTTTTGTTTTTTGATTCCACAGTTGACACTGTGAGAAACTGATCTGCTAAAAAGAAATTCTGAACTCTAATAAACACTATACCAACCCCTAAAGCTAAAAATTTCACAACTGTTTCTTTTGGCAAAATCAAAAGGTATATAACCATAACAGGGAGAACACTCTGTTACTGTTTGTTTTTTTATGCTTGTCTTACAGTGATCAATTTAAGGCACTTCAGAAGCTTACTGTTAAAATGAAAAGTAAATAAGAAAATCCAGCTTTCTGATTTTTGAACATTTGTAAGAAACTAAGCTGCACCAAAGTTATGCATTCGTACACCTCAGTTTCATCTTTACTTTGAAATGGCAGCATTCAAAGTTAAGGGCGCAAGAAAAGATTACTGTCCTTAAATGAAAAAGCATATGGTAATAAAAGAAATGAATTAACAAAGTAATGTTAAAAGCACACAACAAGCAAGCAGAAAATCCACAGCATGATAATGTCTGCTCAAGAATAAATGAAAAGGTACACAATGAAGGTAGATTTTTCCTATTTAAACCCTAACCTACAGCAGTATTTATTTCAAACTGGAAATTATTTGCCCATCTTCTTATCATGGCAAGGGAAATAAAGTATTGATGCAAGTCAACAATTGTATTAGTTAGTTTACATGTTCATAGATAAACAGGAATCTTACTGTTAATTTTGAACAAATACCATTCTTCCCCTTAAATTTTCATTTACAGCAAGTAAAGAAAAGCAAGTATTGTGTTCCATTTTAGTCCGAAGTATGATATTTTATCAAGTCCTTCAATACCTTTTCAATTTCCTGACATCAATACCCAACTTCCTGCAAACAGCTAGTGAAAGCACCATTGTGAATCAATACATGCAGTTTAAATATTTCATTCCTCAGCTATTGTGCGTGAATTCCAGAGGCAGTTTCCTGACAAACACCTCATCCCCTCATAGGGATGTCAGGGCCACTCACCCTCCCTCTTCTCCCTCACCCACCCTGCTCAGCGGTTAAAGATTCAGGAAACACTTCTGAACATGCATACAGCATGATTTTCAAGTGTTCAGTGCCAAATGAAACAAACAGGAACCCAAGGTCTGCTCAAGAGAATTGTAAAACTCAAGCACATTTGGATGGTCATAGCTTAGTTTGGGAGTGTGAATCAGCTGAGCCTTGGCAATGCATTGAACGACCACGTTCACAAGCTCTGCCGTGGCTTGTGAATGAAAGATGAGATGTGTCTGGTGAAGACTCTGGGTTCAGTTTGATGAAACAGCTGAAGGAGTGACCCAATCACAGTTGCCTTGTTAGGCATTTTTCTAGTGCAGACTGAGCTGGTTACGATACTGGCCACTGAAGTAAGTAAATGCTAACATAGGCAGCAAAGAAGAGAGAAATGCCAGCAGACAAGATGGAAAAATGGCAGAAGGAAGGAAGTGATCTCTCCTTTTAGTGTCATTTGGCCATCAAATCAGCTTGGCTGATCAGGACAACACTTGAAATACAGGAGGTTTTAATTTAGACTCTTGTGTTTGCTAAGAACACATGACTCCCCTTGGGTATGTCATTCCAGATTAAAGTTTGCTTTTTTCCACAAATTTCTGATAGAAGATGCTTTGAAAGCAGAAAGTTGTGGTACAATAACTTAATTGTATCATTATTAAAGGAAAAAGTACTGCTGTGGACTAGGCTTGTGTCACTGAAAAGTTCCAAGATCTGATTAGGTACTTAATTTGATTCCCTTGATGCTCTCAGCATTTCTGCTAGCAGTTCCTGTCTCCATTTCTTCCCTTAAAGCAAAGAAAAAGCACTTGCATAACACTACATCATGCAGAAATCTGTTGGGAGAACTTCAGCAACAGTAAGCCAGCTTCCTGCAACCTGTATTTCCTGCAATTACAGAATCACAGAATGGCCAGGGTTAGAAGGGACCTCAAGGATCATGAATCTCCAACCCCCCTGCCACACACAGGGCCACCAATCATCCCACCTAATGCTAGACCAGGCTGCCCACGGCCCCATCCAATCTGGCCTTGAACACCTCCAGGGACGGGGCATCCACAACCTCTCTGGGCAGCCTGTTCCAGCACCTCACCACTCTCTCTGTAAAGAATTTCCCCCTGACGTCCAACCTAAATCTCCCTTCCTTCAACTTAAAACCATTTCCCCTTGTCCTGCTGTCACTCACCCTTTCAAAGAGTTGATTCCCCTCCTCTTTGTAGGCTCCCAATTCCTGCAAGCACACCAAACTTTTCTGGGGAACTTTGTTGCTTGTCTTTCACTAAGGACATCTCTATGTAGCATATTGCTCCAAATAGCTACCAGTGATAAAACTTGTTAAAATTTATTTAGTTGGCTAGGAAACATCCCTAGGGCTTTTACAGTCTCACTCACCCAAACCTAAGAAATGTATCTGAGGATAGGAGACATTTAATTCACCCAAAACCTTAATAAGAAAAATCCTTCCAAGCATGTTTCATACTTGTAGTTTGTTTCTTGCAAAACAAGCTTTTATTTCCAAACATAATAAATGCACAGATAAGCACTTTTACTGTGCTTGTCCATGACAAGTTTAGTACCCATACTACACCAGACATCTCTTACAAAAAGTGGCTATTTTTGCCTTCTTTCAATGTATATGTTTTATCTACCTTAAACACTCACTTAAATCAAAGACTTGACAGGGATGGCAATTTAATTTCTTCCAAACACATTTTTGCTTCTTACTGTATATTTTTAAGATACTACTTCTTAAGTCTAGTCACTATGAGAGTCCTTTTATCTTGGCCTAACAGCAGATACACCAAGGTCCCTACTAATGTAGCAATTTAACATATTCCTGAAAAAAAAAGCAGTTAATTTTGAACCATCAACATTCCAGGCATTTTGCCCATTGCCATCCTTGCATAACAAGCACAGAGGAGCTTGCATTCCACACTCGAGTAGGTGGTATCAAATAACTGGTTTCCTAGGTAGGCAAGACTGACTTGCTGTTTATTTCAATATTTAAAAATTTCTAATAGAAATGAACATAACAGTTCCTATTAAGCAGAGAAGCAGGAGTGCAAAATAACCTTAGTGATATGAAGTAAACACAGATTTGAAATGGGAAATCTTGTCCTAAAATGGTCATAGTGAAAAAGCTGGCTTGATGCATATATAGTTCACAATAACACAGGCGTGGCACAAGGGTGGAAAACAGGACAAACATTAATTTTCTAAGCATCATCCAAACTACACCATGGGATGGAAGACGTATACATTTTCAGAATAATGCAGCATGTCTCAATCATTAGATTTCTACATAGACTCCTCTAGACAAACCACAGCAACAATTCACCTACTGCAGGGAACCTGCTTTAGCAGGGAGTCAGACTTCAAGATCTCTAGAAGTCTCTACCAACTCCTATGATTCTGTGATTTTGTCATTGGAAATAACTGAGGAAAACTAAATGATTTTGCTAGCATTCAGAACCTCTACTTCCAGACTGCTATCTGAACCCTGCATGAATGAAATTATACTGATGAGCTCAAGAATTTCTATTTTAGAAGATTTTATTTACTAAAGTATAGCAAGTGATCTTGAAGTAAAAATCACTTTTTATAAGATGAAACAACCTGAACTGCAGACATTACAATTAAGTCCATTACTTCTTACGAGCAAAGCAGGTGTATTGGGGAGATAAGCACTCTGATGGAATATCAACATCCAAGTTCATATTCACTGAACGGACAAAACAATACCCTACAATAAGTATTTCCTAACCTACAAGTGCGGATCATCCTGGCTTAAACAAGTTCTCTGAAGTTACTTTGAATTTTCCAAGAAAAGAAGAAAAAAAGGAAAACACTTCCTGACTTTTGGGTGACACATCAGACTACTCTACAGCTGAAACTTTTGTTACCTGTGGAATGGGAATATTGTTAATAATAAATAAAAACAGAACCCATAGTTACAATTTGGAGGAAAATGATTGCACAAATATGCAAAAAATAAATCAGCCCAGCTTACTTTTTTCTTCAAGCAGAGCTGGGTCCTGGGACACCAGGAGGCTTATGGTCAAATCCTAACTAAATTCTCTGCCACTTCAGCTAGCAGGACTTCTACCACCATATAATACCAACGTTAAGGGACAGAAGACACATAATGAATAGTTTAAGAGCCAGGTAATTTCTGGTATTTACAGGCCCTCGGGAGAGTTAATTACAAATTATATTCAAAAAGGGGAAGGCTAGGGAAAGAGGAAGAGAGAAATGGAAAGAACAAGAAGTTGGGGAACTCAGCCAAAAGCTCATAAAATTTCTCCACTGTGTCTACTTTGGCTGTTCCTGCAAGTATGTGCCACTGTGGCTTTGGCGGACAACACGAGTACACTCTGTAGAATATCCAGCCTTTCTGGCAGCCTGTTTCAACAAGGAGGTCTTAAACTGGTTTAAGATACTCATGAAATCTTTAGAGTCCATCGGCATTTTGCAGATAAAATAAGTTATTCGCCTTCAAAATAAAGCCTGCTAAAACCAATGGAGGAGAGGATTTAGGATTTCCTTAACTCACGTTTAAATTGGTACAATGAAAACTTTAAAGATATAGAGGGAGCAGAGCCATGCTATAGAACTAACCCAAAGAGAAAGACAGCTGTATGTTTAAAAGTTAATACTAGATTTAAATTTAGCTAACATTCCTAAGCCAGATATTTATGGGATATCAGACAAATTACTTCATCCCTAAATCAGACTTTCAGATTAGTTTAGCAGAGTAAAACACAAATCCAATGAATTTCACTAAAAATTAAGCAAATAAACTTGCTTAAACTTGCAACTTGCCTTCACAGGATGAATTTAACAGAAAAATACGTCATTATTTTGTTTTGCTTTTTCAAGCCTCCATATGCTCTAAACAATTAAACTGGAAAATAACATCTCCAAAATTGAAAATGCAGGTGACTGTAAAGAAATTACTCTTTCTATGCCCAAATTAGATAAACTGGTTGAAGATGTTTGGATGTTTCTGTTCAAGTCAGCTGCCTTCAGACTGGATTTAAAAACAAACAAACAAAAAAATCAGTTAATGCCAGTGCTTGTTATTGAAGGGATCATTTTTCATCTATTGATTAATTCACTTCCCAGGGTATGCAGCAGTGACATTTCATCATCACTCACCAATATACTTTGTGTAGTCATTACTCTAAATTGTACAACTTTGAGGTATCAAAGAAAAACAATTTGCTTTTGATTTCTCTTTCTATGAAAAAGTCCATTCAGAAAAATGCTTGAGGGGGACACTTTCCAGCATGCAAATGCTTTTCATGAGAGGTGGTCTCACTGAAATAGCAACTGAAACTGAAAACAGTATTTATCCAGGCAGCTTGGGGCTGTCTGCTCAAAAATGCCTTCCTCCCTCCCTCCTGCTTCTCTGGAGGGCCACACTGACAGATCTGAGAGAAACATTTTCACGGAATTAAGGTACAGTTTATTTAACAGTAATGGGGGGAAGAGAATGGTAAAGAGCAGGAGCCTCTCTGTTCAGCACGACTGCTGAAATAAAAAGTGCAGTTTCCACGTCTCCTCTCAGAGACTGGAGAAGACACAGGATAAAGGATGATTTCTACAGCTTTTTGAAGATGTTGGAACCCACAGCTCACAGCATCTGAAGATACTCATGGGAAAAATTAAATTGCAAATTATCTGACTTCCTTCCAGTAGGAAGCTGAAGGGAAAAAGAAAAAGAAAAAAAAAAGTAAGAAAGAAGAAGAAAAAAAGCTCTGCAAATGTCTTAATTTATGCAAAGACCAAACCACTCAGTACTGCTGGAGAGACTTTTAAAAGAGGAATAAAAATCAAAGTATGCTTTATGAAGGAGGAAAGATATTTGGGGAATATAAACCAACTTCCCCACTATCACTAGATTCATCTCCCAAATTTCTCAAGTTAGAAATCCCAACACTGCATTTTCTCACTAAAATACTACACACAGAGAATGTACTTTTATTTTAAAAAACTTCTGCACTACAGACGGCAAGTATTCTGTTGGCATCTAAAGCTATCATCAGTACTATCAATGCTATCATCTATGGCAAAAATGCAACATACTGCCCTTCAGTTAGTGGGTATATTTTCCCCTTGCTTTCCTTTAAGGGAAGAGAGACTTTTTTTCTTCCAATGTACTTCTAAAGCCCTACCTTAAAACTTGGACATACAAGCAGTTTGCCTGCTAAACTTGTTTGCTATGCATTTTACACCCTGTTTGACAAGCAAACAGTCATAATATACTGTTTTACAGTTGTGATATACTGTAGCATTTTAATTTTCTACTTTATAGATTTTAATCCATGGCAGCACATTCCGTCACCCACACTGCGCAGTAACAGTAGATATTTCAGCAGCCAAGGCAGAATGAGCACAAAGATATTTAGTAGAGACAAAAGCCCTACAGAAATGCCAGCAAGCTAAGGGGAAGGAATGCATGATAAATGAAGAATGCAACCACAGAGATAACTGTTAGGGGCAATGAGCTTTGTGCAGTTCCACTCAAAAGCTGAAAGCTGATTATTTCTGTACAACATACTGGGCAAAATAAGGCTACTATTTTAAAGGAACTAACGTGCTTTTGCTAAACAACAGAGCATTGTTGGAGCTGCTATTCTGGGACAACAAAACTACCCTTACTGCAATCACTATTCTCTGTTTGAAATGTTAGTTACCCAGATTTTCTACATTCGATTAATGTCAGAAGCCAGATCAGTTCTCATGTTCAGAAATACTGCATTCTGTGTATAAACAAATATTCAGCATTTCCACCTGAGAAAACTTAATTAAAAACTTTTAATACAATCTTTAGGGCACTGGTAGTTCTCCTAAACCGAACAGCGCAAAACTAAATCCTATTCTTTTTCCTAAAACAATTGTCATGTAATCCTAAATTACCACTGGGCTGTGATGTGCTTAAGAGTTAACCTCTGCCCAAACAGTACACATATGGCTTTTTGTTTTGCCTTTTTTCTTCCAGCTAATTAATGTTTGATAGGTAATAGTCACTGGTACCCACATAATGCATTTTACAATGAAGACTTTTATTCCAGTTACAAATGCTGAAGAAATTTAGCTGTGTATTCCTAATGTGCTTGCATCAATTTCTTTTTCTATGCCTGTATTGCATCCAAATGTGGGCAAACTTTCCAAGAAAAAAAAAAAAAAGTGAATTGCCTATAAGGCAATCTGTGCCAAGACATATGACAACATAAGAGCGTTCCTCAAAAAAAGCCATCACTGCATGAAAAACAGGCAAGAGTACTGGACTTTGTCTTTACCCCTTATTCTTAGAGACAGAGAAACAGACAAAATTGAAAAGGAAAAAAAATAAACTTGAAAAATTTAATAAAATAAGGTTCTCACAATTGACTGTAACTGGATCTTTTGAGTGCCAGTCAATTGCAAAATTAGGGAACATTCTACCAGAGCAAATTAACGTGATCATAAATGCGTAACGTTACCATGTTCAAGCTATCATCATCACCTACACCACTGTTCTGAACATGCAACAAATAGTTTGAAAGCAGCAAGATTAAAGAAGGGCCTATTAAACTACAATGGTATGTAACACTTTTAAAATAATCCTAAATCAGGTAGATTACTTTCACAAAGCCATGAAAAAATCTGCAAGACTTCACAAAAGAAATAAGTAATTATAATAAGTAAGTAGGTTGAAAGACTTGATAAAGAATTAATTAATTCCAAGTTAATTTAAAAACATTTTTGTCATATGTTTTTCATCTTCAAAATTCATTTTTATGTGCCTTTTTATTCAGCTATGAATGTCTACTTATCTCAAGAATTTTTTCATTCTGTCTTCACACTGAATTTACTACTTCATCATTCAGAATTCAGATCACAGGTATGTAAAGGTCTGAACAAACTGACAGAGACAGCCAGATATAAACCGAGTGTATATTAAAGTCTGTTTATAGTGAGGCTTGAGAAGAATAAAGAAAAAATAAACAGCTCAATTAAACTACTGCAGCTTTCTGTTTGTACAAGTGTAGAATAGCACTGACATTCAGTTTTATCTATGCAAACAAATATAATAATCTTATGATAAGGTCTTACGTTTACCTAAGCTTTTATTACCTCCAAAACTATCAGAAATAAGCACAGTAAGCATAATAATCTGCCTCAAGACATTTCAATTAGGAGACTGGCTCCAGTTCTACTTTGAAAACGCTGACAACATAAGTAAAAATAAAAAATATCAATTTTGTCTTTATTTACCTTTTCTTGGCTTCTTCATACTGCCAGTTGAGTCTTACTTTGTCTACAAGTCTTGTTTTATCATCGAACCCAAACTTTTGCAGAGTTGAAGAGTAAAGATGGGGGGAAAATAGATGAGATTTTAAATGAGATTTTAAATACACTCTCAAAATAAAGAGTTAAATTAGTCTCTCCTATTGGCCTAACTAAAAATTGTGAATGTTTTGAATAACAACAACCAAAATCAATTTTATGCTTTAGACATACAACTCTGGTTTGTAGCGAAACATATAAAAGATAAGTGAGCCTTTTCAACAAATTACAATACAGGAAATGAAGGGCTTGCAAACAGTATCACTTACAAAACATCAAAGCTTTTCAACTTTATGCAAGCCTAAAATATAACGAGTATGTTTTAACTGAAACATTTTATTACTTAAGGGATAGTTTAGTAAGAAATAATTCAGACTACGTTCCATATACTGTGATGTATTACCCAGCACTTAGATCATTAGTGACTTAAACACAAACACAAAAACATTATCTGTTCTTTGAATCAGTCAGTCACAAAAAATGCATGTATGTTACAAGTCCTTCTGTATACAGCCTGGTTTCTACAACAACTTCTCATCATCTTAGGGCATCAGTAGTTGCCCTCTTCATTGCTGCACTTCTGGATTTGCTATCTAACTGCTTCTTTTGCTCTCTTCATCATCACATGTGTAAAAAGCCACCTCTTCTTTACCCACATTCCATCACTAATAATTCAGGAAAATAATTAACCTCATTATACAATTTTATTTTCCTAAGGAAAAACACTAAACACAACAAAAACAATTTTCTGACTGCAGTTGGCTCGTCTTAGAAGGCACTCAGTGTATACTGTGAATGGGAAAATGTTGCAATTTTCCTTTTAGGTAATTTGTTTTGAATTCGTTAATCACATCCAGCATCAGCCTGAAAAATGGCACCCCAGAGGCACCATTTAACTAACACTCTGCAAGAAATTCTAGTGTTAAATAAATTTTCTTAGATACTTTGGGTTTAACCTATTAAAAATACAGATTTCCTCTTACACAGAGGTCCTCTAGAGATATTCAGCTTTGCTACTAGCCATCAGTAAAAGTAATGAAATAAAAACTAAGTGATAAAAGCCTATGATTAGAAGTTACAAAGTTCAATAGAAATAGCTGAAGTAACACACAAACTATGGTACTACAAAACTACAGACAGGTTTTCTTACTGCTCTGTTGTCAGTCTCATCCAAAGAAGCAAATGCTAGGCTGCCACAGTTATAGAGTAAGCAAAATTTCATTATTTCAAATTCTTTCTTTCTTCACACAGAACTATCTCTGAAGACTGATGATAAGCCATTTTCAAACACCTTATTTAAAGGCATATCTGAACATAAAAGTATAATAAAGTAGATCAGAAACTTTGTTAGTTGTTTAAGAAAAATATTTTGGGACTGAACAAGTATCTCCTTGTCACGGGAAAATGAAAGGAACAGAGGTTTACTTTATGTCTTTGATGTGTGCAAACAATGACAATCAAGATAAAAACAAGATTAAAAGAAACAAACTTCCATCTCTATTACCAGGCTGACTGTATCTGTTGGCAACCTATGAGCTACACCATGCTCAAGCAGCAGAAAGGCAAAGCCCACTATTCACATGCTCTGGGAACAATAAGAAAATGCAAATCCTTCACCATCAAATATTTATTTGGATTTTTTGTTCTGCTACAGCTAACATGTCTTGAATTAAAACAGGAAGTAACAAAGTACCACTCCAGTAGAAAAAGCAGCTGATTTTCTAAAGCAAATGGCTCACATAGGAATACATACCTCCCCAGTGATGTCAGTCTGAGAACAAGCATCACAGTGTTGTTGAGGTAAACAGGAATCACTGAGTGAACTAGAATTGTGCTGGAGATCCTGCAGGGAATCTGTGATGCAACAGCTATTCCTGAATCCATCGGTTAGCTTGGCCAGGCTCTACAAGAAAAGATATTTAAAAAAATAATAGCAACAGATTTTGATGATACCTTTATTAACAGAAAAACAGAAATGAATTCTGCCTAAAGAGCATGACTTCATACAGGCAGCTTGCCTTAAAAGAGCTGTTTGCATTAAGTAAAATTCATAATGCTATCAGCTCTATCAGCTAGTAAGAAGCACGTTTGCTTTGCAATAAATATTTTTTTTTTTACAAAGAAGCATCTAGATATATGTCTTTTAAATCTCATTTTTAGAATTTATTTTAGGTCTATGAAAGCTTTAGTTTTTGTCTAAGACCTACAGTTCTTTAAATCTATCAATTGTCAGCTTACATACCAAGTTCATTGGTATGAAAGACAAATGTGATTCACCTGCCCTTTTGCCATCTTCTGCCCAGGTTACATTCCTCAGCCACTACTGCCCTCACATACAACTTGATGAATAGCTTGTATTGATTGTGGTCTTACGGCAGTTGATTTCACCCTTGTGCTCCCTTACCCAGCATTCATAGAGATATTTTACACTTTGGGTTAAGCAAGCAACATCTCTGAAATGTCTAGACAATGACATAAACTGTGAGGGTGAAGCACAGACTTTGAGCATTCTTAAAGGAGAAAAGGAGCAACAAAGTCAAACAAAACTAGAGAAGTTTGACTGTAAGAATTTGGTTGGCAGGCTCTTAAAATTCCTTAAATAAAAAGGTGTAATTGTCATTGCCACTTATTTTCTGATTATGTATTCTCTGTTTTTCAAAAATCACAGAAAATGTACTGTTTATGACAAAACTGCTATGCAGGCTGTCACTTATGACTAAGATCCTGGGTATTCTGCATCAAAAGAACTTTTTAAAAAAATGCTTTAAAAATAAATTCTGTTCCCCCCCCGCCTCCCTCTACCAGAGGGGAAAAAGCAAACAAATTATACAAACTGTACCAGTTCAAAGATCATAATGTAATCAAGTCAGCTGACTGCAAAAATACCCCAGAAATAAAACTCAAAACTGCTTACTCCATTGGCCAAACCAGAGAATCAGAGACTAAGCAGATGCAGCTCAATGACAACATGCTGACCCTCAGGAATTTCAGTGCCTCTGACAACTGACAATTTGCAACAAGCACAGTTACCATGCATATCCAGTTACCAGGACAGTCCTCAATCTTCAAAGAGCAGTTTAAAAAGGATACCCTGGATCATACAGCAACACTTCCTTTTCCTACAACAAATTCAACTAATGGAGTCAGGAAAATAAGCCTGTGTAACAGCAACTGGCTGCTGCTTACAGGAGCTGCAAGACCACCTTGTTGCCACCTGAAGACAAAGGCATCCTATTACATAGTCCAGAAAGCAGCCTTAGGAATTGCAGCAGGCCTGAATACCAGGCACCAGAAACAGCTATGGCCTCCTGCACCAAGGAGCTCAGCTTGTCTTGGGTCCCCAGAAGAATCCAATTCTTCTGCTACCTTCCAGTCAAACTGGGCCATCTTAGCATGATGGACAAATGAAATAGTCATCCTAAGAAACCAAAATTCAATTTTGGGTTATGCTGCCACTAAATCTCCAGCCAGTAGCCCTTTAACCTCTGGAGATTTGCTGCCAGATGAACAGCTCTACAAAGATGCAAAAAGAAAACCAGGGTGTCTGCCATTTTAAGATGACTGAGTATTATCTTTCTACTCAGTGCTCCAAAACTCACTGCAAATCACCCAGTCCTGTCAGTTTCTTGCTGTATGGAGAACTGAGATGGATCCCTTGTGGATTTATGAGATGGAAATAATTATTTTAAATTGTTGCTACACAAATATCAAATGTCTAATATGTTCTTTTTTCCAGTAAAGCAGAGCTGATCTCATGATCACCAGGGATTCAGAAAACCTGAAGTATCTCCCAAATAAGCTACGTCCATCTGGCACCTTTGGCTAACGTACATTATGCTACAGGTATATGTATTATGTTACAGGCACCACAAATCCTGATGCCAGAACTTAAATCTAAACTTTTGCCCATATTTCAGCTACTTCATGCACTTCTGCTGTGCTCCTGACCTCCCACTCCAGCATCTCCCTGGAAGGTAATAAGGGACTGCTTGGATGCTGGCCAGGTTTCCTATCTGGCCACAGTTGTTGAACTCTAGATTTTACTAACAAATGACATAGCATTTTGCAGGTGGCAACCACCTTAACTTACATCTACGTGCATAGGTGACTGTGCTTTATGGTAAGTATAGAAGTCCTCTGAGTCCTTCTTAATTGGATGAATTAAAAGCATACCCTCCTGCGATCACAGCATGAAAAATTACAACCTAAAGTTAACACACTTTTCCATAGAAACAATTTAGATCAGCTACTAGGAGAAAAATCCTCCCCAGCAATACGGTAGAGAAAACCTCTCTTTCATCTGAGGTTTATGGATTGTTTATGGTAATCTTAGAGAAACTGACAGACCACTTTAATGCATGGATGTGAAGCTGCAGACACACCAGCCAAAATCTATCCAAAAAGAGAACGCTGCCATCTCATCATGAATTTGTCGCTAGCTGACTTAGGTGGCACATAACATTTCAATGTAGTTCTTATCTAACCTATCTGGTTTACTTAAATGGTAAAGAAGGAAATAATAAAGAAGAAAAAAATGATAAAAATTAAAAAAACAAAATAACAAAAACTCTCCAATGCTTTCTAAGAAAGAGCATTTTTAAAGAACACGAACATACTGGAACAGAAATTAAAGCATGAAAGGAGGGGGAAAAGAGACACACATGCAGCTTTCAGGAACATAAGCACACACCTTGATTACTAATCTTATATAAAAAGTTCGTCCATTTTTTTGGAGCTGTGAGATTGTATATTTGGCTTTATTTGTAACCACAGCACCCAGTTTAAATCCGACCACCCTCTGCTTCCCTTGTCAGACTTCTCTCCCACACAGCTCTACCCAATTATCATATTTCTACGACAGCCACAATTTTCCAAGCACCTACACAAGACTGAGTCACTTTTGCTATGTTTAGTTCTGTTGCTTACACTGGCCAGATTTAAATTAAGAAGTAGTATAAAATTTTCTATTTCCTTTCTCTGAAATAAATTCCCAACTGTTTACAGAATACTTCCAACTCATCTATAAACAGCATTCAAAACAGACAATTTTCCGTAAGAAAGCTTGTCTTACCAACAATAGCTTTTAAAGATAGAGCTTTTGTGGACAAATCAATTCCCAAACCCATAGGGAAAAAAAAAGATCAAATTCTCAACTCATTACAAAGATGTTTTAAACAGACTTTCACTTGTTTGCCAAAGCTAAACAACTCCACAACAATTATCTTCAAAAAATAATAAATAAAACAGTATGCAGGCTCTTGTCCATAGCAGGCAAAAATACATAGCTAATGGTGGTGACTATTTTGAAAAATGGAGTTTTGTAGCTGAGAATCTGCTCTATCAAATAGTGTTGTGCTCTTTCTATCTGATGTTACTTCCTTGGTAATAAACAAGAAGCATTACTTTCAGAGTGACCTATGTGTATTTAAAGACTATGCAACTGCACTTAAAATTGGTTTATAAGATGTGATTTTAAGGCGTCTTAATGTTTACCACTGGATATAGTGCCACTGGGGATTGAAAATCTAAAGAAATGGGGGAGAAAAATTAAAAAAAAAACTACTGAGAGTCAAAACAAGGCCAGTAGTTAAGCTGTTCCACGGTCTCACACACAAGACTTTAAATTACCCGTTAGTTTCCTAAAATGTGCGTCACAGCATCCATGAAGAACTGCCTTTCTAATCATTTCTTGCTAGCTAGGCATGTGGAAGACTTGAGAATCACTTTAAAACCTGGCCAACACAAAATATCAAGTATGTTAAAAGCTGCCAAGGCAGAAACTTTTAGTAGTGACTTAAGTGTTCTGTCTACTTGAACAAGGATTTGTGGTCCATCAGCTGACCTTCGGGTAATACTTTGGAGATTGAATAATTGTATAACTATGGAAATTTATTGTATGTAGATTACAAGCTACCCACATCATTTAACAGCAACAAGAAAAAATGCCAGCAAAAGACTATTGCAGAGAAAAATGAAAAGAAAGAAAAAAAAAAAAAAAAAAGGAATGGCAATAATAATTTAGTGCAGTCCCAAAAACTTAGGTAATGAAAATATTTTTTTCTATACAGCATTTTCAGGACGAGGTGAGGAATACTGTATCCAGAGCATGTTTCAGCAAGTCTGTACCAAATTTCCAGCAGTGGCAAAGGATCGTGGCTCAGTCAAGTTATTGTCATACTGATAATGCAGACACAGCAGGTGAGAGCTCAGAGCATATGCAGAAGCCATTCAAAGACATGCCCAAGCAGTGATCCAGCACCTTCCCTTAATCTTCATACTCAGATTCAAAAAAAAAAAAAATTAAGCTTGCATGATGATATATATCTATATACACTCTATTTAACCATATGCTTTGAGGGTTTTGTGAGGACATTTGAAATTAATTTGTCTTAATACAACACTTTGGAGGAAAGACTGAAGGAAAAAAGAAAAAAAATTAAAAAAAAAGAGCTGCCAAACTGTCACATAGTGACAGAGATCCAGTTTTATGAGAAGCTTATAAAAGGAAAAACAAGCTGATAAACCTTCTAGAACATGGATTCTCAGTCTTACCTCTTCATAGGGAATGCAAGGGGACATTAAACAAAGTGAAAAATAAATACTGTTGGTCTCATTTTTGTTTTTAAATACAGCATAATAATTCCATAAGAGTCTTTGACACAGCAGCAGTGTAATGCTATATTAAACAAAAACACTGATCTCAACGTTAAGAATAGTATGCTATTTACAACAAAAATATAAAATTCATATTGTGTATACTGTGAACATAAGGCTCCATATCTACTTCTTTTGAATAGTCTGCCATTGGCAACTATCAAACAGAATAATCAAATTTGGCGACCATTCTTGTTTGTTTAAACCTGGAAACCCCAACAGAATCACCAACAAGGAAATGGAAATACACTGCATATTTCAGCAGTTGTGTATTTTTTTTACCTGCATAAGGTCCTGCCTCTCTTTTTCACCTGTGCATATGGCTTTCTTTATGGTTCGTAGCTCACTCATTATAGCCTGCGCTTCATCCAGTCTGTAATTTGTATGAGCACTTGACATCTTACGATCAATCCTGTTGAAAAGACAAAGACAAGTTCAAGAATTTTCACATAATTAGAAACACCACAAATATTTTAAGACCTTTTGTTTATTCATGTACCACTTTATTTCCAAGAATAAAATGACATTCTACTGGGAAGAAGCACAGCATTCAGTGCCCAGTACACTCTGAAGCTAGAACAATGCAATTACCTACTCAGGTTTGCAAAAACAACAGATTTTCCATTTTTAACCTCCCCTAGTACAGAGTTTATTTACACAGGCAACACTTGCAGGTTACACAACAAAAGTAAAATCAACTCAAAACTAACCTACACAGTAATAACTGAAAAGACACTGGCAGCCAGGCCAAAGCTATTCAGATGCATCGCTACACATTTGAACATCTCTTCCAAGACTTCTGTCTGATCCTGTTTTAGAGGTTCCTAATGAAGGCATTCTGGTTTTTTGGGAGAAATTTTATATTCCAAAAACTTTATTGTAAATGCTTTCCTGTCACTGCAGACATCTTTGAGTGTCTTCTCTAGACAATGTCATCTTGGAATATCATCTATTATCTTGGAACACAATCTATTGTCTCTAGATAATATCATTCACTAGAACAGACTGCCCAAGGAGACTGTGGATGCCCCATCCCTGGAGGCATTCAAGGCCAGGCTGGATGTGGCTCTGGGCAGCCTGGTCTGGTAGTTGGCAACCCTGCAAATAGCAGGAGGTTGAAATTAGATGATCATTGTGGTCCCTTTCAACCCAGGCCATTCTATGATCTTCCTCCACTAACATACATCTGGTAGTCAGCCTCTTCTTCCATGTAACTAGCGACAGGGCTAGAGGAAACAGCCTGAAGTTGCACCAGGGGGATTTCAGTTGCATGTTAGGAAAAATTTCTTCTGAGAAATGGTGAGGCGCTAGCATAAGGCTGCCCAGACAGGTGCTGGAATCACATTCCCAGAGCCTCTGCAAAACTTTCTAGAAGAACTACAGGATTTAACAGCCTCCCTAAAGCAATTTGTGAAAATAATGTTAAATTCCTGTTGAGGTACGAAGGCCCCAATTTACCTTTTAGTCTAGCACACAAAGTATGTGAAGGTGTGTGTTTATGCAGTTTGCATAAATGAATATTTTTCCGAAAAAAACTTGGTACATGTAATGGTCCCTACACCAAACCTAGGAAAACATCTTCAGAAGTCATCTCTGGATAAAAAAGATGACACAGCCATCAGTTGTTACATACAACATCAGTTCATAAAAAGTAGTAAGAAGAGATGTACTAGATAATTATGAAAAGAATACTCAAATTTTGTATAATATTGAGAGTAACTCAAAGTTTCAAGGCACATTATGCTAAAAATAACAACAACAACAAAAAAAAAGCATAAAAAATAGTGCAAAAATCCTAGTCTGGAAAAAAAACAAAATAAAAGACCTCCTTGCATTGTAGTACAGGATAGGAGATAAATCTAGAAGCTTCATAACTGTCTTGTGTTCTTAGAATATTTAAGTGATATTAAGAATGCAAATGCATTTGCAGCTTAAACTACACAAGAACTTTTCTCACTCTCACTCAGCCTGTTCTGTCAGTGAAGCAAATCACTAAAATTCTACTTGCAGCAGATTACTTAATTTAAAATTAAAATACTAAAATCCTAGTAAGAAAAACCAAAAAGCTTGAATGAAACTCCTGTGGATTTACTGTGCAGCTCACAACATTCAGGAGAAATTGCAGGCTGCGTTTCTGCAGTTTTGCTTTGTTTGTTTTCTTCTGACAGGTCCTGACTTTGGACAAAACGCAAAGTGTAATCCTGAACCTCAACTTTCCACTTAAGCACGATTTTCCCTATGTTGCATATGAAAATATAGAAGCCTTAATGATTCAAAAAGCAGAAAATACTTCAATCGTGTGCCTTAAAGTTTTGCTTTGTTTTGTTTTTCAGATGATTGCTTGAGTCTTCATTCATTTTTACTTAAAATTCTGCAAAGATTAGGTAAAACCATGGCCAGACAACTACTCCAATTCAGTAAAAGTTTCATGAAAATGATAATGTGGTTTTATCTGAAGGTTATGTTAATGTTAAAAACATAGATTCCACCCAAATTCTAGACCAGGAAATGTCTCCTACACAACTGTTCATTATACTGTTTGGCATGTACAAGGTGGCATTACAGGAAGAGGAAATTATTTAATTTCAACCAGATTTTTGTCCAGTTACCCACAAATTAATGTTCCTGGACGTCACTTTGGAGCCCAACTTAGAAACTGGTATTTGTTTAAGCAAAGAATCAGAAAAGACTCTACTGCCAGACATATCACAGCTTAAATCAGTATTGCTGTACATCCAAACTGCCTTAAGTATTTTACAAAATTACGTTATTTATTGCCCGTTCATTTTTTTTTCTCCCCTTCATAAAGCTCTAGTTTCGAAAGCCACAAAGTTAACAGGAATCTTCCATTTATTAATGGGAAAGAGCATGATGCAAATACAGATTAGCCCTTTATACAAACAGGAAGAACATTCAACTATGAATGAAGCACACATTTTCTTAGGAAGATGTTTCCAGAACAAGTAGGCTACTAACACGCTCACAATAGTTTTGATCCCATACAGCAGTCTCCACTCTGTTTTCAGCCACATCGTTCAAATACATAAGTCTTCTGCCCCAGTCCTCATTAAAGAGTATGTCTGTAGTTGAGTTAAATCTAATTTTAAAGCTTTTGTCAGTTCTCATATCCTCTGAACTCGTGCGTAGCTATAAATTGTTTAGTCAGCCCTAATTCCCCATTTCTCCTAATTTTCTCTGAGCATTCCTTCCGCTCTCGCAGCCAACTGGCTGGGTTTTCATTTCCTTTGCTGCTAAACGCCTTCTTCCTCCAAAATCCTCTGCTCTTCCTCCTGGCAAGCAGGAGGGTCACTGAAAACACACGGGAGAAAAAGAGCTACTCCTCATCCTTAGTCCCTAACAGCCAGGTGAAGGAATATATTCCAGAAAAGGCTCAGATTTAACTCCCTAACCCTGAGCTTTAATAGGATCGGCTGCACCTTGGGGCAAAGGCACCCCTAGAGACCAAGGAGCAGCGAAGGAGATCACACAGGCTGGGACAGAGGCAGGTCTGAAATACTGAGCTCCAGAAGGTCTCCAGTGGGCAAGGGCAGACCGTAACATTTGAAGGCTTATCATAACATTGCCAAATTTGGATGAAAGTGCAGAAAATACAGCCCAAATGAAAAGTTGCAGCACTGCAGAAATTAGAATTCTGACTATATTGGAATTGCAGAGCTATTAAAAACTCAGCAGTGGTTGAACACAGAGCCGTGTTGGTTCTGATACCTGCTCCCAGCACTATGCTGCTTAGAGGTTCAAAGCAAGCCTTCAGCCAGATATAAAGCCTGAAGTGTGACAACTCCCAGTATTGTTCTTGGCACATACTTAAAATAAAGTGAAGAACACGGCTTTAAAACAGCTGAGCAGGATGCATGCCAGTCTCAGTTTGGCAGTTACTTGACAATTTGACCTAACACAAGAAGGAACAAAAAATATGAAGGCCCAAAATTTAGAAAAGGTTACAAAAAGGGAGAAATGCCTGGAATGTGTGAGTCTTCTCAAAAGAAAAAAACAGAAAAGAAAAGAAAAAAAAAAAGCAACACGAAATACTTCTCTTTTAGAAAAGGAATGACAGGTTTCTTTTCAGACAGCACACTTGTTTTGTGGATATGCAGAAAGTAAAATTCTTCAGCTTCAGTACTTGACTGGAGTGCCCCTTTTCCCTAGACAAATAAGAGTGCAAGGAGAGAGAGGGCAGGAACAGCCCAGAGCACGGGCACGCTCATAGCCTGGGCCATCTACCTACAAAACCATCCTCTCTCCTGACTACACAAGGAGACTAGAGAAACTTCTCTCTGCAGTTGTTAGGCAGCACAAACACTCTCCAAATAGGCTCATTTCCTACTGGAAGTGTAATAATTCAAAGAAAGCACCAGAAAAGCAACTGAAAAAGTAGCTGAAAAACCAAAACAAAAGCAGAATTCACCTCAGAGAGTGGAGCTCAGCAAGGCACAAACACTAACTTCACAACACAAATCACTCCAGTACCAGAAAGAACGCTGGCAAAATGCTGTCACCAGCAACAGCAAATGGCACTGAGCATCATCCAGAGCACCACCAGACAGAGTGACTGCAGCAGCAGCAATGAGAAGCAGCACTGGAACACTGAGCTGTCATGCCTGAACTCTTAAACCAGCTGATTTATTACTACCACTAACTGATCGGGTACACAGGGCTCGCCTTGAACCAACTCCTCTCTTGAATGTCTCTCCTGTATCCCCATCCTGGAATACGGGCAACTTAACTTGGGCTAAAATCCAAGACAAACATTTGTATTCATAATCATTTGCAGACTTTACTTTTCAGTAAGTCGCACTACTTCGCTGGGCTATCTTAAATTAATTACGTTAATTAAAACAATCTTGAATTTCAAATGGCCTTCAAGTACTTTCACCTCCCCAGTCAAGTGGGTAGTCTTTTTATAAAAGCAATTGAACCTATAAATAATTGAACCTATTATCTCAAAATTGCCTGGTGGCAATGAGGAGGAAAACAAATAACTGAAGCAGAAAAGGCAAGACCCTTTCTACTCAAAGAAAATACAATAGAGAATATTATGACAAAATTGTTTTTGCTGTTACTTCTTACTTAACTGGGGTACTACCCAGAACCTTTGATCAGTCTTAAAATATTTGCAGTTTCAATACACAGACTGCTTGACATTACGATTACGAATTCAGTTAATTCTCCTACAGCTAACTGTAAATGTTTTGTGTAGTCAATAAAATATATTTATGCCTGAGAATGATTACATTATACCTGCTAATGAAGGATTTTGGCTGGACACATTTTGTTGTTTTTTTTTCACAGAATCATAGAATCACAGAATGGCCAGCGTTGGAAGGGACCTTAAGGTTCATGAATCTCCAACCCCCCTGCCATATGCAGTGCCATCAACCTCCTCATTTAATGCTAGACCAGGCTGCCCCGGGCCCCATCCAATCTGACCTTGAACACTTCCAGGGACGGGGCATCCACAACCTCTCTGGGCAGCCTGTTCCGGTACCTCACCTCTCTCTCTGTAAAGAATTTTCCCCCTGAAGCTTCTAAAATTCATTATAGAACAAAAGAGCCTTGTAAAATGGGATGAAAAATATGAAATGTATAGGCTAGTCCTTTAACAGAAAGAACTGAGTATCTTCCTTTATACAGTTTAGTATAATGTAATGCCATCTTTGGTTAATTCTGTCTAAGCTGGAAAATCAGGAACCTAATTGCTCTGGGACCTCTGAATCTTTGCCAGGATTCCCAAAGCAGAAGTGTGTGCCCATGCTTCATAGCACCAACACAATAAATCCAAAGCTTCCAAGTATTTCCACAGATGCCGTACTTATGCTGCAAAATGCATTATACATGCAACAGTTCCAATGTTTTCAAGAAGCGCTTGCATTAGGCAGTTTGTTTGCATGCATGCTGGAGAGATGGCCAAGATTTCTAAATGCACAGCCACACGTCCAAAGCAAATCCAAGAGCTGTTCAACATACAGCATAGCTCTGGGCTTGTTGAACAGATCTGGAAGTCACAACAACGTGTGTTTACCTGCCACCTTTTCCATGGCCTGGCAACCTTTCTCCCTATCACACGGGGCTTCCTGCATATGTGCTATGTGTGCAGGTGACTAAGCAGCACATAGATGGAAGTCTCTCAGTTCCCATCTGATGGCCTGCAGGAAGAGTGGCAGGTAGAGGGTTACCACAACAGTTTGCAACCTTTGCCATCAGCAAGCATGAAGGAAACAAGAGCACAGGCTGTCTACTGGTCTGGGAGCAGTGGCAAATTGCCCTGAGCTCCCTCAGCTACCTCTCCTTCCAGAGAGGAAACAAGGGGTCATATTTACATGCAGCCATTCTGCACACATGCAACAAAATCCAAGGTCCCACAGAGCTTTAGATTTACTGCACATGAACACATCAACTATGCTGCCCAGAATTGGAAAGTCTGACCATCAGGGAAAAGGAAGATGCAGTGTTGCAGTGTTCAGGCTCCCACCCAGGAGAAATATTTTGCCCTGCCAGAAAGCAGAGGTATTGCTCACAGAAACACTATCCCATTGCACAGTGGTTCTGACTGGGCTCCAGACAATACATATTTCCAGAAGATGCTTGGAGTACATTTTAAAAATGTGATTCATTTTCAGGCAGAATGGAAGGACAGTACCTATGAAACTGTTTTTGCATGTGGATCTCTGGAATCACCTTTTCATCTCATTTTGTCCAATCCTCCTTCCATCATTTCACACTTCTCAATGTGTACCATTATCATAGCAGAAACTCTGAAGCAGAGCAATTAGAAAGTTTCTACTTTTTTTTTTTTTTGGCAATAGTTTCCTGAACAAGTCATTCCAAGATGGGGAAAAAAAAAAAAAACAGCCTCCCACAAACCCTTAACTTACTCTTGCAGAGTTTCCACTCCTTTTTCCTTATATTGCAGCTCTTGCTTCATCTGTGCCAATTCTCGTTTTAGCCTAGAAAGCTAAATATACCAAAATAATTTAAAGTAATGATACGTAACGGAAACTTTCATTATTAAAAATAACTCTTTCAAATACAAAAATTAAAGTCATTTTTAAATAAATGGAAGTTATAATCTATGTTTTCTCCTTTTTTGCTTTAACATTTGCAATAAAATAACACACTCTCTGAAATATCAAATGAGCCAATCACAATATTCACCTTTTCCCTCATCTTTTCTATTTGTTTTCCACCTCAAATAGCTTATACTAATAGCTAAAAGCTTCATACGACTTCCTTTCTTCCACTGTAGCAAACAGATGCCTCTGAACTGTCAATTCTTCAGTTAACCCAAAAAGAAAAAGAAAACAAACCAAGAAACACTGAATGGTTTAATGCTATTAGTTTTTCAGTCTAGCACAATCAAATCACTGGCATCCTTCTTCCAGAAATGGCACCCTGATTTGCTATCTGGTTCCATACTATCTTGCCTTTTGCCCTCTCTGGCAATCATCTTGATCCAGTGAGTGTATATAAATCAAAAATGAAAGAACAGCAGTGACTCAAAAAATATCTACAACTACTTGATACTACACATTTTATTCTGTTTATTCTATTACCTGAAGCACTTATGTACACACATGCACACATTAAGTTGAACAGATTGTCCTATGCACTTGTGAAATCATTTTATTTTAAGATACAGGAAAAGGGACAAATAGTCTTACGAGACCTTGTTTATTTTCTTTAAATATTATTTAAATAAATAAGGCTTGTTTTCTTGTTTAGACTATGCTGACACTTAGAGTATGTAACACAAGCAAACACTGGTCAGCACGTAGTAAACATACACAAATAGAATAAATGCCTTTGAAGGGTGGTGAACGGGATTTAATTTCAGAGGCATGCATGTGAAAAGCTGTCACTACAACAGAAACAGAACACTATCCTGCAAAGATAAGATTTTTATTGATTTTGTGAGCTGAGTGCCTAGCATGCTAAATCCCATTTTACCAGTTAATGAAGAGAAATGTGCAATTTAGAAAATAGGTTTAAAGCTCAGAGTTATAAACTGATTTTTACAACCATTTGTGACTATTGTAACAATTTCCTTTAAACAACTTTCAGACTTCAAGTCTTTGCAGCATAGGATCAATTTATAAAGTCAACTATTCTTCTTTCAGACAAGACAGCACTAAAACCATGGTTATAGTTTGTTGGGTTTTTTTTAATTATTGTTATTAATTATAACATTTTATCCCAGAACTGCCTAGAACTATCAAAAGGCCTGCATTCCTTCCATCATCCCCCAAAACTCTGGATAAAAATTAGCTTAAAAAATCTTCGTGGTCAGCATGTCTACTAAATTGTCAACAGAATTACAAAGAAATGGCTAAGTCTAGAGTTCAATGATATCCATGGAACCCCACTGAAAATGGTAAATAAAAAAAATACGAAGACAGTGGGTTTGAACTGTACTCAATCAAGGCTGAATTTTGCTGCAGAATATTTCCTACTTACGGCAGTTTGCACAGAGAAAATATTTTCTGAAAGCCTAGCTGAGTGTGCCTCTGTCATCTATGACAAAAACTTCAAGCTTGTAACATGGAAAAAGCATTACTTTCCAAGTCACTGAATTGCAATAAATGTAGACTTCTTTCTTTTAGTGTAGCAAAGGTCTGAGCATATTTTTATATTTTCTTTTCAAAAACACATGCAGCACCCAATGTAAATGTCAACTGAGGCACGTAGTTCCCCTCCCTTCCTCATGCCTAATTCACATTTTACAAAATTAAAAAACACTACTCACCCTGTCACGACGGCTGGCTATTTCTGCTTTAATCTGATATGGGTCATACTTGGTATTAGTTGAAAATCCAGAGAATGCTAAACAGATGGAAAACATTATTTTATATTTATTTTTTTCTTTACCACACTTGTTAACATGTAGCACTGTTTAAAAGACCGTTGCATTCATTCTTTGTGTTACAAGTCACTTGTTTTTAAAATAATTCTCTCAGTTGAAGTGCAACAGAAAAATTATCTTTGGTCTGGTTGAAGTTTCTTATTTAGTCCTACACAGAAAATAAATGAACTGTATATTGCAACACTGTGTATTGCTCAAAAGCCAGCAGCTTCCACTAAAGGATGGTGGCATTTACTCATGCAAGAATTCGTGTAACATTAACAATTGCTATTTGTTTTCTAAGTCCATTAACATTACAATAGGGACTAAGGTCAGAAAACTATTGTCGGAACAAAATTCCATCAGTGAAATAGAGAAGTTGCTTCCTAAAGTAACAGTGTAGGGACCAGACATTCAGCTCAACCTCTTGCAAGTGAGTTCTTAAAACAGCATCTCTAGAGCCAGGCAATGATTTCAAGCTGTGACAGTATCAGCTAAACCCTAGACAGATGAAGTAAAAATCCTAGAGGAGAGGTTGGGCAAGACCAACCATGATTTATTGAGCGAGCCATTCATGGCAGCACTGGCCTGCTGAAAAATGCCCGGTATGCAAGTGGATTGGGTTGTGCTGTTAGACCTACCATCCTTTTGCAGAGCCAAAGGCTGTTGCTGCTTTGAAACTCATATCCATGTCTGCATTTCACTGAGCCTTTCCACTCTCAAAAGAGCACTGCAATGCCAAGGTCATGTCAAGCGTGCAGGAACTTGCCAAAATGAGTAGTCACGCCTGGACTAATTCTTTAAATCCAGGATTTTCTATGGATTATTTTTATATATATATATATATATTATTTTTTTTTTTAACAGTGCTGATCACAACTGAGTCACAGAAGTGCTGCATGGGCACCTCCCTGCCAGCCCACGACCGCTGAGCTCATGCTGCCTCCCACTCATGAGCACACTGCACTGAGTCAATGACAGCACCCACAAGCAAAGGGAAGGAAAACAGTTTGTGTACTTTTAGTTCTTTTAAGGCAACAGATTTAAACAAGTGCTAGTGGAGGCAGAAATATTCACAATATAAGCACCCACCTTTGCCACTTTAATTGCACCCAAATTACAAGTCAAAGACTTCTGCACAAGAAGTGGAGAAGCAAGCATCTCAGAGTGCAGGGGAGTGGCAAAATTAAGAAAAACAAATGGAGAAGCCTTAGGGAATCTCAAGTAGACAGTATGAATAATCGCCAAAGGGATTTAAAAAAGAAAAAAAAAAAAAGGACAAAACAGTCCATCTCATTTCCTCAAAGCTGATGCACGTGACCTTAAAACAATATAAAATACATTTTCTCAGCAAAACAACTGAAAGGTCAGTTTTACAGTATACTATCAATTCCGCAGACACACGGACACATGTAAAAAATCTACCCAAACTTTGAGAAGAAGTCATTTAATACAACATTCACATCTATGCTACATGTAACTTTCCACTTTGCCATTTTCAGTCATATTTTGTTGGTGTTTCAAGCAAATTGTTTTTCTAAGAGCCATAAGAATCTGAAAAAGGTTCTGTTTTTCTAACTTTTATTTTCCTCCAAAGAAGCTTCTTTCTGCATATTCACCTGAAGTACAATTCAACAAGATCTACCACTGAATTACTGCAAATTTACTTATTTTTAAAGAACTCCAAGTTCCTAGAAAATAATTGAAACAAATCAAACATTGATAGCACAGTCTTTTTATGCCATTCCAAGTCTCCATGTCGCAAACCCTTTAAATGAGCATTTCTTTAAAAAAATACAAACTTGAAAAAAAATAGTTCATTTTCTTAATCACTTGTAATAAATTTTCACATAAAAGCAAAAAATAAGGCAGTTACACCTGTTATATCAGGGGGACATATGTCACTGTGCACTGAAATCCCACTATGTTTTCACACTGCTGGTCAGTGCATCTATCTCATACCCTTCTCCTTTGAAGGGGATTGTTTTGACTCCTCAAAAACACCCCTTTTTTGTGCACCAGCCATCAACAATGAAAGCAGTGCCACAACTTTGAAATTTAGAAGAAGTGTTATCATCTATTTCAAGCTGCCTCAGATGAAGAATGAAAAGAGCAGGACATCAAGACTTTGCAACCCAGTACCAGCATTAGGGTCAGAGGCTGGCATCCAAGAACATTGATGAAACGCCATTTCCTACTTAATCAAAAGAATTTTCTGGTGTGACAGTTAGAATAACTGATATCATCAGATATACTTTTGACCACAATGCCTTTCCCCTCAATCTTTGTGGAGCTAATAAACTGATCACGGATCTGTAGAAGGCTTCCCCTCAGATAATGGTTTCCTCAGCTTACAGCGCAGAGTAATCTATGAACTTAGGAGGGAGAGTGGGTGGCTGGCCCAGAAATATTCAATCTTTGTTGCCTTTCATGAAGCATTGGCATGGCTGTCACCAAGATATTCCTGTTTAATGTTAAAAAGTTATATACCGGAAGACCTAGCAGGAAACCAGAGACCCTGGATAGCAGAGAGAAAGGGCTGTGCCTCACTTCTGTTTTCAGAGTCTTCATTGAGAGGAGAATATGGTAGCAAAAAAACTTTCTTACCCTATATGTTGTGTTATGTATTCATGATAAATCAAGAGAAGGATGGAAAACTCACAGCTCGCGTAAGAACGGTTGTCATCCTCACACATTTTGTGCAATTGTTGATATTCTTCTTGGGCTAGTTCGAAACGCTGCTGCTTTACTTGGTAAATCTCTTTCTTGGCATTAAGTGCCTCCTGGGCAACTATTAAATATTCCTTTAGCATGCGTTCCTGCTCCCTTCTCCATTGCTCCCTTGGGTCTTCAATTTGTGTAAGCTCTAAGGAGAAAAACAAAAAATTGATAAGACACTTTATCCCAAAAAAGGACAAATGGTTTGGTTAAGGTCTGTTCTGCAGGTCTACATCACAAACTGAGAGTGACATGCTCAAAGATCTGGATGTTGCTGAACAATTAATCTGCCTAACACTACAGCATTCAAAATCATTCCATCCTGAGTGATTTTCCCAGAGTGAAAGAATAAGAAAATCGCTTTGAAATGTAAAAGGCATTTACATTTGTTTTCTCTGGGCGTGCTCTAGTTTGTAAAGAAAAGATTCTGTGTTTATGCTTACTTTTCCTCGCAGCCAGCTTGAAAATTCTGAGTATTACCTAAAAACCCAGAACCACATAGGAAAACAAAAGGTATCTAGAAACAGCTTTAAAATATTACACATTAATTTCAGACATCTAATATTCTGAAAGGCTAGTGACTACACCTGCCTAGAGAAGAAAAAAGTAATTCAACCAGAACTCATCGTGCAAGCACCTACATTGGCATTTGTTAATTAAGAAACAGCGCTCTCATGCTTTCCCTTTCCAGAATTACAAAATACTCATTAAATTAAAAAACTAAAAACAGTTTTCCAGTGCAAAATCTTTCTCATATAAATTGATTTTCAAAGCTAATGCATTACAGGTTGCTCTTCACAGTTACACACATATTTGAGATATCTGCAGTAATATCTAAAAAAAATAATTAGCTCATTTGCTTTGTCTTTGGGGTGATGCTCAAGCTAGCAAATATGTTTTGCATGAAGATGTCCATTTGAAGTCTCATGTTTAAGTACATTTTAATTTCTGATGATTGAAGCTTTGATGGCAAGAAGTCACTGCAGATGCTATGTCAGTGTTCAAAGCAGTAGCAGAAAGAGCAACACAGTCAGGAGGCATACCTCGTCATTTTTTCCAAACTTTGTTTCTCATAAGAGATGAAAGCCAGTTATGTTTAATATTAATCTTGCATTCAGTAATTCAGAATTTTGGTGCTCATGACTAAATGTGAAACTTATTATAAAAGGTTGACCTTAACGAATTAATAATTCTAATGGTGTCAAGGTTATCCTACCAGTTCTACCATTTACAAGCCATTTGAAAAGTAGATAGAAACATGAAGCTGTTTATGAACAGTATTCCCAACAGAACTACTACGTTCCCAACAACCTTTATTCAGCTGTAACTCTTCCCACAACTCCTCACAATGCAAGAGTATGAAGCTTGTGCCTACAGGTTTGTCTTTTCTCCAGTATGTTCACTGTATTGCAGTGACCTTTCCAGCAGCACCTCCAGTTTCCAAAACATCTCTGCTACAATATCCCCAACCTACTTCAGTAGTCCAGAGCAGGATGTGCTGTGACTTGTTCCAGTCTCCATAAATGCTTATGTGCCTAGTTTCTGCATGCATGTGAAGCAAAAGAAAACTGCTGAGTTCACACCACAGCCCATCCTTCAGTGAGGGCATGATAATTTGCAACACTATCACATCCATCAGTGTTCCTGAAATTTGTGAAAATATAACATTCCTAAAGCTACTATCCTGCGTGGAAACTATGCAAAAAATAACTAATATTTATGAGACAGAAAAACTGTATCATAGTAAGCATCTCTTTTTGAATGAAAAATTAATAGTTCTCCTATTAGCTAAATTACATTGTCCTGCACATTAAGCTTTGAGGTCCTATACTACAGGGTACAGCATCACTTTGGAGAAGGCTTCTGAAATAATTTGCAAAGCTAGCAGCATTCTTCTGAGACAGAAAACTACTTTAGTACAGTGGTGACATTCTCTTCTGTTTTATGAGTATGGAGTCTTCACTTTGCCCTGGATTTCCACATAAGTTTGTCATGTAATAACTGAAACTAATGCGAAGTTGGATGGTAAAATTCATTTCCTTTGTTTCTCTATACACAATTTATAAGAAAATGCAAGACTATAGTAATTCAAGAACTGCCCCAGACAAATGCAGGGAATAGATTATTATTCCCCCACTGGGGAATGCCCAACTGGTTAAAGGAGACTTCAAAGGCTCTCAAGACTCTGAGGAGGAGGGAAAGGAATTCTGCGGCTGGCAGCCACCACGGTTTTTTAAGCAATGGTTGGACCACAGCCAAGAGCAGCTTAGTAAGGGTGTCAACAAAGTACTGAATTTACAGAACAAGATGGAAATCAGGGTTGGAAGCAGCGTTGAGATTTACTGAAGATTCCTCTGTTCCTGGGGATTTTCAATATAAATGGAAAAGTATTGCCTAGAAGACTTTTTACTACTTTCTAGGTAAACAAACTTAGTAAGAAACTTGAAAAAAAATGAGATGCATTACTGATTTCCTTTAAAAGGGATACGGGCAAAAAGCTGAGGATACGCAAAGCATGAGAGTTCCTCAATAACCAGAGCTTTTAAAAGAATCTATTTGAATCATCTCTGGCATTTTCTCACAGGATTTCTTGGAACTAAAGCACAACTGTTTTGCCAATTAACACAGCTCCATTGTTGTTTTAAAGCATTTAAACCTGATCAGCCAGTAAAGGCATCCTGAAAAGGTTTAAATAATCAACTTGTTTTCACTTGGAAGTTGCTTTGCAAGTATTTTAGACATAATTCAGAATATAACGCAAGGGAATCATTTCAGAAAAACATTTATTCCTTGCTCTACCATCTCTGCTGCCTGCCTGACACGATCTCATGGTGCACATGATTCATTAGTTCTCACTTCTACAAAAGAGGTTAATGTCACCTTGATTGGTACTTCTCTTGTCCATGGTTTAAAACTGGATCAGCTATCTCAGTAATTTCTGAGTAACGATTATCCAGCTGTACTATCAATTTTGTTTTCCCTCTGAATATAAATCTTGCTTGTATAAGCAAGCACTGTATTAGCCTAAGGGTGACAAACCCATTTTGCTATGACGGCTGAATTACCATTTAGGATAATATCTGTGGGCTGCAAGTAATTAGTTATCATGAAAGAGACAAATTTTGCAACCTGGTTAATTGCAGAATGATTCCTTTCACTCAGTTCAGCATTGGCACTATGAAGTCTTTATCCATCTGTTCATATATTACCTTTATTTATTTCATAATTAGATTACATGTACGTTCTCAGACCCATTTGTTTTAATCTTCTCTTTCTATGCCTTCCTCTTAAGCGTTTGGGAATTTAATTTCTCTCTGCAAAGACCCTCTTCCACAGCTTTTGTTCTGGATTGCTCAGAAAAAAGAATGCAAGCCAGATCTGACATGCCTACAATGATTAATATCCTTTCTGTAAGTTCAAACTTGATATCTGTGGTAAAACAGATAATAACAAAGTCTGAAAAACAAAAGGAAGTGATTTCTTTTGCATGCAATGGTGATTGTTATTCCTATCCAAGATGTCTGTTGCTAGAATACTTTCTTAACTCTTTTAGTCAGAGCAGTGCAGTGGGAGTTCATGTTCTACCTATCATCTACAGTGGCTTCTAAAGCATTTTTAAAAGTTTACGGGAATAACAGCTGCCAATATCCTCATATTTTGTTTTGTTTTCAACGTGTGCCTTCATGTACCCATTTATTGGTACAAAAGCACTCTATTACTGTACACCCAACACAAAGTTCACTTTTCATTTAATTTCAGCATTAACTAAAATTACCACAACAGTTTAAACAGCTATCCTGAAACTACAACTTCTTTTAAATAGAGAAACAATCTGTATTTCTCAACTTTCAGTAGGCTAGGATATCTATCCTTCTGATCAGTGCATTAACAGCTCTTCTAAAATTATTATTCAACTTGTGACTCTGTTCATTTATTAATTTCACAACAAATAAGCATCCATGAGGGTCAAACAATATCATGAGAAACATGAGATAAATGAGACAAATGAGAACGTTTGTTATTCTGCTGTTGGTAGTGGGATGGGTTTGTTGCTTTTTTTTCCTGTTTGCTTGTTTTAAGTAGCTGTTCAATCACAACAGACAAATACTGCCAGTGATGGCAGGAAGACAAAAACTACTTCTACATTTTAATTTTTTAATTGACTACATTTCAAGTAGAGAGTATTCAGGTGTTTTTACAGATTATACCATTTACCATTACTGTGATAGCTCACATAACCACTTTCTTCTTTCCTCCCTCCCCGCCAACTGCCAGTTCCCACAGTATTGAAAGCATTCACTCATTGGTGATAAGAAGCTTAATGATAGCAACACAGCAGTAACAGCAACAGTAGTATACAGCTGTAAAGATAAGACACACTATTCTAAAACTAGAACTGGAAAATGTGCCAAACAGAAGTGATATAAAGCTCAGCAAGAGTCCAAAAAGGTAAATGATGGATATCATTCCCATTCTCAAAGGGTCATGTTTTGTATTTTGTGACAGTACTTTAAAAGTACAAAATACAGGCTGCATAAGAGTGAATGACATTACTGTAATTGTTGATTAAAAATCAGCACTCCTCTCTCAGAACAGATTTTGTTTTTCAAGATAGAAGAGTCAAGCATCGATCACTAGAAAGCCATGCAAGGCAAGAGTATAGCATGGAAATTTCAATCTATGCAGAAAGCAACAGAATTACTGGCTGTTCATAGTTTGATGAAGCAAAACAAAGCAACTTTGTGCACAATATCTCTGTCATCAATTATAAAATTCTTCACAAAGAAAAGAAGGGCTGTGCCCCCGTTTCCCATTTAAAAGATGATGAAACAGATAGTGCAAGAAATTACTTGTATACATTCTCTTGCTGTAACATGAGTTGCATAAATGGTATCGGAAGCAAAGATAGTGCCATCAGTTAACATCAGCTTGCTGGTGTTCCTAAAAATAATCACACTTCTACTCACGATTTATGTGGTCCATATAATACACTCCAATCTGCTGATCGTAAACAGTTTCCCATCCTAAAGGAAGCTCATCACCAACACAGTCAGCAAATGTCAATGGCTTTGTAATCCTGTAAGAAGAAAAACATAAATGAATACAAAAGATGTAGTTTACAGTGCCAAGAGTGTCTTTATGTTTTGAATATCACCATGATCTGATCACAAAATAGTTACGCTGCTTAGGAATGTGCTAATAATCACAAACATACAGTTTCAAAATAAAATTTCATTTAAATATGCTGACAGATACTCCCCAAACAAGTAAGACAAGCTTCTCCCTTCAAGTTTCTATGTTTAACAATTTAATTACAATGGCATGCAGTCCTGCCAGTTTTTCTCCCATATTGCAAAGAACACAAATATGAAAGCTGGAGTTTGTCACTGCTAAAAAATACCAGAAGCTTCATAGGCTTTATCCTCTTTATGATGTCAAAGAGGTATAATTGTTTGTCCTTAAAAAATTAAAACAAAAATAATAACACTATAACACGTTTCTTTTCAGTTATGCATTTCCAACTATTAATTATATTCTTTTGGTCCTGACCCATTCAAATTTCTTCCTATCCCCCAAAGCAGAAAGGAGGGAAAACAAGCCATTCCAGTGGTCCAGTAGGTACACCAGACAATCACTACCAAAACACATGTAACTTCACACAGTAAGCAGAACAATTACCTTAACCCACCTTCCAAAACTATCCTAGTACTTTTCAGATTAAGGTGTTTAAAACTGACTGTAGTAGGATATATATATTTATCCTCACTAGTTTTACAACTGCAATGTTTTGATAGTTTTTTTTTTTTTTTACAACAGTACAAAGATCAAGTTATTTAGATCAAATAAAAAAAAAGTTTGATGGATTCTCAAACATGTATAAACAATTTAATAAAATAAAGATGTGCATAAACCCATGCACCACTTTTCAGAGATTTTCCATTACTGACAAATACACAGTTCATGTCATGTACTCATGTAAACACAGAACTGCTGTATTCAAGAAAGATGTTACCATGGGCTGCCATATCCATTCTTTCAGTAATTAATCTAGCAGGCAGGCCAAATAGTGCTGAAATACTTCTGATCTCCGTGGTGTTCAGTCACATATTAAAGATACAGTGTACAGCATTTTCTCTTAAACTCTCATGGTTTTGTTCTGAAGACATAATGTTTACAATTTCTCAAAGCAGTCTAGACATCAGTTCCTAAATTACCACTCTATAGACAAAATTTTCTTTGGAACAAGTTATGAGACATGCTTGCCTATTATACAAACACACCCTCACCCTTTATTCCTACATAAAACCTGCACGTCATACTCTAACCTTTCACACTACAAGAAGTTTAATTCATCACTCCCCATGGTCCCACCACTGCTCCAGCTTCCAGAGCAAGTGTAATGCACTCTTTCTGGAGAAGGACGACCAAAGAAAGTCAATGCATCTGGCCTAACCAGTTTTCATTCCGATGTTATAAAGCGTGCATGAACAGTTTAATTAATGGTTTTGTAGGAAACTTTGTAAGAAAAGGGACATATAAAAAGCTGTCTTTCAGACATGCAGAATATTAACTTCATGTTGCTCATTTTAAATCACATCCAAAGCTGCTCCAATTTGGTCTTTCAGACAGAGCATAATATAACACTGATTCACAGCTGAGTCACACATATGTAGCTTGAACCTCCACTCAACTGGTCAAAACACACAAAGTTTAAAATAAGAATGATAAGTTTCTCCCTGTGTGTTGCACCAATTTAACTAAGTCAATTGAAAAAACACATTTCTTGTTTGACGAGCACAACTGCAGAATTCCTCTGGCACCAGTTTCCACATTAACTGCTCTTGGCCATTGGATTTACAGCTGAGGTGTAAGTAACAGTCATCCAAGAAGGCCAATTTTGCATGTCAGAGAGCCAACCATAATTTCAGATTGCTCAGCTAGGTCTTCATTATCTTTAAAACTTTACCCTTTCCAGAAATAATTATGTTCTTCAGTCGCTAGACACTCATTATTTTGGGACTCAGAAACCCTTTAAAAGCAGATACTGAAATACATAGCAATGCTTCTATCACCAAAATTCTACAAACTAAGCTAGCGAGCAACCTGTGAGCATAGTCTTGCTCCTCTCCCCTCCAACTCTGTCCAAATTAAATGTTTTCCTTAAGTAGTAGTAGAAGCGTGGTACTTGTGTGCAATAAAACAGACATTTCTGAAAACCCAAGTTTTATTAATGCTTTCTGTATCAGGTCGAGCTAAACAGAATACAGACTGCAAAATAAATCTCAAAGGGTGAGCATAATGATTTCTGATTACAAGGTGTTTATACTCTTCCTTGCCAATTTACACTCTACCTTTATCCATTACACATACCCAGGAGGCTTCTGTAATGCATTACTGCAGCATTCTGAATATAAAACAGCCAGAGGAACATCCTGCATTAGTTCATGGCAGAGAGCGTGTGGGAAGGAAAGCAACATGCAGTGACAACATACCATTTTAGATAAATTACTGCAAAACTGTTCTCAGTTCTAACATACTTTGCTAACAATCTAATTTCAAACCCCCAAACCCCAGAAAAAATCAACCTCTAAATAATAACAAAGCACTTCTTGGTTCAAAGAAAAGGTATACTTCAACTCCCAAACCACAATTCGACTGCTAATACGGGCAGCAATTTTGTTACCAGAAGTTTTGGAAACAGAACTAGATCACTAAAAACACAGCTCTTCAGAAAATTCTCAAAGAGCTCCTCAGGCCATCCATGGCACAAAGAGGGGCCTGGCTGCTTGAGATCTCTAGGTCTGACTGAGCACAATCTCCAAAAACTTCGGAGAAATCAAACGCAAATAAACAGAATGTGCTTTTGCAAGATCTTGACCAGAAAATCAAGAAGTAGAAACTCCACAGCATACCAGCTGCCATCTCTCAGACAATATGCAGGTGCTTAAACTATAATTTCTCAGTGAATAGAAGAGAAGGCTGTGGGGTGACCTCGTTGCAATCTTCCATTATCTAAAGGGAGCCTAAGAACAGGAGGGAAGTCAACTCTTTATGTGGGTAGATAATGGCAGGACAAGGAGAAATGGTTTTAAGTTGAAGGAGGGAAGATTTAGGTTGAATAACGGGAAAATTCTTTACCAAGAGAATGGTAGGGTCCTGGAACAGGCTGCCCAGAAAGGCTGTGGATGCCCCGTCACCAGAGGTGTTCAAGGCCAGGTTGGATGGGGCCTTGGGCAGCCTGGTCTAATATTAAATGTGGAAGTTGGCAACCCTGCCTTTGGTGGGGGGGGTTGGAGCTTGATGATACCTGAGGTCTCTTCCAACCCAAACCATTCTATGATTCTATGACTCTATGCCTAAATGACACCCAGGGTACCCTTGTCTTCTATGCTTGGGCCATGACTGAGAGGAAAATACTAACCCCAAAGGCTACAATTCATAGGTTTTGAAAATGCACCAACAAGTTCTCAATCAAATCAATCATTTGTATGGAATGAATGGAAGGAGAGAAGAACTATCAACAGGGCTTCTGATTTTGGACAGGTCCAAAGCCAGGAAACATCTATCAAAATTTGGTACTACTCAACAAATAAGTTGGAGAAACAGACTCTTAAGGCCAATCTCAATTTGAAGAGCAACTGCTTGGGATATTTTTTTTGCCCGACAAACCCACGTTATAGGCTAGGAAACTGTATTAATCCATACCACAGAACTGAAAAAAAATGCAATTTGTAAATAAGTAACAGTATAACTAGAAAGAATCAGCCATTCCGACAAACCTGGCAATAGTTTATCCAAAGTAAAGAATTATACCTATTACTGAAGAGCCACAAGACAAGAAAGAGGAGATAAGAAATAATGCGCATGCTGAAAGTCCTTCTGCCACAGTTTTTTTTAACCTCCTTCCAAATATGCCTTTAATTACACTCTTTGTTATAAATGTCAGCTAATCCTCTTGCCTTGCACTGTAGCTTGCACCTCCCCCAATGTAAGAGGCAAAAAAAGAAATCAAGTATCTGAAAAAGAGCAGAAGGCTATTTTGTTGTTCTACAGTTGGAGGTGAGGAGGGCAAGAGCGTCTGTTTGCCTTCAGAAGTCAGGCTCCCGTCCTGAAGGGTACCCCGGGGCCTGAGGACTTCTCTGGAAAAGGAAGCTCTGAGGCCACCCATACCCTGCCCAGAGGCCCTCCAGAAAGGCCTCTGACAACTGAGTACACACACATAATGCATATATCCTGCTGGTGCCAAGGCCTGGCACTGTCAAAATAGCTCAAAACCAGAGCCATCTACCAGGTGACATCACCACAGCCTGAGGCAGGTATCACCATGAATGCTGGGCCTCTCTCTGAGCTCTCACTGTCAATTCTACACAATGAATTAAGTAACATCTCCAAATCACAAGAATAAGTTGGATTTCAAAGCAAGGTTGGGCGATTACATACTGCTTAGTCAAAAGCATGATGAAATTTGACCAAACATTATGTACAGAAAAAAATCCCTTGCAACCTTCTTAATCCAAATGACATATATCTTCATTTTACCGCTTTAATCAATCTCACATTGAGAATAAAGTAACTTTCTGAACATATGCTTGACACATAATTAAAATAAATCCACAGTACAGAAGGCCAAATGGAAACTTGCACAAATGAGATTCTGTGCTTGGAACAAAGACTTGAAGAAGGTAACTTGTATTCAAAAGCCATTGCTGGGACATACTTCCCCTAGGAATAAAACACTACCCTACAGCAAGGAAATAATAACACTAATTCTTCTAAAGGTCACTTCAAACTCAGTCGTTTTAGGACTGCACTGTATTTTGCAGTAATTTACATTCTTTTTTAAAGCAATAAGCACATGAGAAGAATGCTACTAGCATCAAATCAGTATATTTGACTCAAAGTTTTATATAGTAACATAAGTGAAAGCATACATTAACTTACAAAATAAGGCACAGAATAGAATTAGTCATCTACAATAATGAATCGACATCTTTATGCATGGATAAAAAGATAGATAACTAAAAGATAACTTTTCTATTTCAATGAAAACAAACAGCAGTTAACTGCTGCTGTATTACAAACCTGGACAACCTATACTGAGACAGCTGA